TGCCCGCGATGAACAGCTCCTGCCACCGCACCACGGCGTCCCGAATGGATGCCAGGCAGGACTGGGGCGAAGTATCGACGAAGATCACGAAACTTGTGTCGGTTCTCCACATTTGGAGATCGGCTTCGTGCCTCAACACCGCCTTGGTGAGCGTCGTCAGCAGCTGGTTCACCTGGGACCCTTGTGAGGCCTGGCCCCAGCTTTGGTCCTTCGCCGCGCCCCAGTTGCGCTTCTTGCTCCGCCAATTGTCCCAGCCATCCTGTGAGGAGCCTTTGCCCTCCGGCTTCGCCCACTTGGGTGGCCGTGCTTCCTCCGCGTCGGCCTCCTTGTCGGGCCTCTCGCCCTCTTGGTCGTTCTCGAAGCAGAGGTCGATCTGCTGCTTGGCAAAGGCGGCTCGGGCATCCACCTCCATCTGTTCCGCCATGATCCTCTGCAGGCTCCTGCGACAAGTTGAGTGCGGCAAGAGATGCTTGGAAGATGGGCGTACAGCTATGCAGGTGCTTGCGAGGGTCCTTCACGGGCTTAAGGCAGTAGCGGCAGGGGTTGCACGGGTCGAGGCCCAGACTGCTGATGCGAGCAATGGCAGCAGGCGCGAAGTTCCATTCTTGCTGATGCATCAGTCGCATGTGTTGCTTGCATCCTGGCCCGATCAGTGATACCCACTGACCACAGAAAACACAGCTGGTGCGCAATCTCTGACAGAAATCTGCATTTTGCACAGCTTGCTTCCAACCTTTGCGCAATGTGGCTTGAAAGTACGGCTCCGAAAAGAGAGGCGGATCTGGCTCACTTGCGGGGGCGGTCAAGAGAGCTGATGACCTAATCAGCTCTCCCTGCCCAGAAGCTACCTGGACTTCTGGGTCAGTGACCACCCCTGGCGCTGTGGTGTCAGGCTGAATCGTTGGGGTTGTGATGTGCAGGGCCGGGCAACCTCTGCGAATATGTTTCTTCAACCCCTCTACACGAGTGAACTTAGATCCGCAGAAACGACAGGCTGGCATGCCGTCAACTGTGTACTTCCTATATTCACTTGCTGCAAGAACACCAGACACTCTCGGCTTGTCCTCTTTAGGCTGCTTCAAGTGCTTCAGGTGCGCCCTCGTACGGTGTGATCTCATGTGCCTGTGGCTGATAAAGTACTGGCCGCAAATGTCGCAGGGTACACCTATGCTGGGAGTGTCGTGCTCCGTCGGCAGGAGGCACTGACTTTGCGGAACGGCAGCGAATCTGGCATGGTGACCACTAAACCAAACCCTAGCCTCAAGATCCCTACTAACCGAAGCTCTTCGCTGCAGCGTGCTCGTCAGTGCCTCCAGCGGGGACGTGACGCGCAACCGCTTCCGAAGTGAGACATTGCTTTCTCTGGTGAGATGCACCGGGGATCGGGTTATGCCGCGTAGGGCTCGGGCATCGTATCCCTCCAATCGTCTAAGAACCTCTATGGAGTACCCCATTGCATGCAAGCCATACATCAATGTGGACCGCACACATGCCACATACAAGCGTACCCGATATTGGACTGAAAGCCTCTGGCTGTGCAGTATACGGACAAGGCGCTGCCGATTGTGCATCGCAGCCTTCAGCCTGTGCTCGTAGGTCTGAACTTCAAACCGCCCGTAGGAGGCGACTACTCCAAGATAAACCAGACTAGGAACCCTAGGGATGAGCAAATGCGACCCTGGCACGCCCAGGCTGAGGGCTTGCTTGCCATCAAGCAGGCACGCGTGGCGTCGCAGCCAGCGTCTTGCGGCACTTCCTCTCAACCCGACTTCACTTGCATTCCAGTTTCCCGAAATAACGTAAACAGAGTTCTGATGGTTCTGAGAACAAAGGTTAAGTCTTGCAAAGACTCGACCTCGAATGCAGCGTGACTGTCGTCTGCGAAAAGTGTCGCAAGGCGGTGTGCCCAAGAGACGGACGTCCGAGCTGCGAGCTTGTCGAAGAACCAGCAACTATACAGTGTGTAAAGCAGGGGACTTAACGCACACCCTTGCCTAACTCCCTTGCCCATGGGGAAGGATTGCTTGTGTGGGCCGTGGGAGACAACATAATTGCATGACTCATGTAGTGCAATTACCGCAGCACGGAGGTTGTCAGGAATTCCTGCTGCCTGCATGGAGCAGTCTAAGGATGACCGTGGGAGTTCATCGAAGGCTCTGGAGAGGTCAACGCTTATCATGATTCCGCCAAAACAGGTACTTTCAGTCCTACCTGCCCGCCGGTCATGCACGCTCAGGGTCCCTCTCTCAAGTCTGTCTCTCACATACTGACAATGTCGGGCCACACGACTAATAGCTTCGTCAATAGCCTTGCCGGGACAGTAAGCGTATTGGGGTCGGGTGGCTATGTAATCTGCGATGTAAGGGAGTATGCGAGACCTGAGTACCACTGCCAGCGTCTTCGAACCTGGATCTTGCAGTCCGAGCGGGCGCAAGTCTTGCGGTCGACGCCCTGCTCGTCCCGGTTTCGGGAGAAGCGACAGCTCACAGCAAGTGGCTTCCGGTGGGTAGCGGTTGTGATCGAGATTGCAGCGATTAAATATGCGGGTGCAAACCTGGGCCATGGAGGTTGTGTCCAGCAACCACACATCTGCTGGCAGACTGGCGGTGGGTACAGCTTTGCCACGCTTGAGCTGTTGAATGGCAGTCTGCACTTCTTCAACTGTAAATGACAGTGGGTCGACGACCTGCGGCGTCTCGTACGGCGCTGCACTCGAAAAGGCTTTCCTGAAGTAACCATAGATTTCATCAAACTCCTGTTTAACAGTCAGAAGATGACCCTGAACCGAACGTATCCGAACCTTCTCCCTACGCCTCTTAGGAGCAATGCTGTTCACAACCCTGTACACTGCGCCCAGGTCGTTTTTAGTGGCGGCTGTCTCAGCCTCTTGCAGTTGGACCTCCAGCCAGTGGCGCCTTCTTTGCTGACCAGCCTTCCGAAGTTCCCTGCTAGCTTGCTTAAGTGCGTGATACCGATGCCAGGCGCTGGCTGATTGTCCAAAGACTGTGCCTGCCGGGGCCTCTCTGATCTGACTCAGTCGCCAAACTCTGTCAGCCGCTGCAGTAACCGGGTCAGCAGGGTTTGGAGCAGGGTTGCTTCGGGTCTTATTCGGGAAAAGTCTGAGACAATGCTGGTAAATGTTCCGGTTCAGTTCCTGCAAACTGCACTCAGGGTGGGCAGAGATGTACCTACTCAGCTCCCACTGCAGTTCTTGCGCTTCTGCAGTACCTTCCTGTACACCTTGTTTCAGGGCTCGGAGTGAAAATCTCCGCGGGGTGAGGGTCTTAGGGCCAACTTTCCAACCCGGAATCCAGGGAAGACTGGCTTGTACCGCGTGATGTTTAGGACCCAGCCTCCAAGGCGCCAAGTCCAACGCTATTGGAACAGCCGTGCGGGAGATGGTGTCTGCATGTCGTCTACGCGTCACCAGAAAGTCAATTTGAGAGCGATGTCCATTATTGGTGAAGGTGCAGCACTTACTCGGCGCCGCTGACTTCCATGTATTCAGCAGCACCAGTTGTCGTTCCTTCACCAGTTCCACCAGCTCGTCATCCATGGGCTTCGTGGTGCGCATGACTCCCCGGCCGATGTGTCCCGGCACCGGGTGACAGTGAGTGTTGAGGTCGGCGCCCAGAAGCAGCAAGTTTCTCGTCGGCAAGCCCTGCAGTAGGGCACCCAGCTTCGACCAAAATGAATGTCGTTTTTGTTGAACTTGCTCCGAGTTCCGCTCCTGCTGAACGAATTGATATCCAGCAACGATGTCCAGGCTGACTCTGGTCGAGGTACATCTGACGTGGAGCAACCGGCCGGGCATCCACGTCACACTGGAAATCTGTTCCTCGTTGAATTTATCAAGTCGGATGAACACTGCAAGTCCGCAGTAGCGGTTTTTGCTGTCCGCGGTCACTATCACCTGCCAGTTTGGGATCTGCCATCTGCCGTCTTCGCGTCCAAGACCCCAGTGGGTTTCTTGTACCAGCACCACATCTGCTCGGCATCTGGTTTGTAACCAGTTTTTAAATAGATCGTAGCATTCTTGCGTCATTCCGCCAATGTTATAACTGATCGCCTGCAAACGCCGCTGGCGAGCAGGTCCAGGAGGTGGCTTCAGTGGCAGCACCCTTTCAGTCGTCGTCGTCGCCCTAAAAGTAGTGCCCAGTGACGCTGCGCTGCGCCACTGTCCTCTGTACCATGTTCCCCCGTTGGTTTCCGCTCGGCGTCTAGCTCGACGAAAAGCTCGTTTTCGACTGCTACTCCATGTAATCTCGGCTGTCCTCTCTCCAGTACATTTTCCCCCCGAAGAGGTTGCCAGGACCGTGGTGGAGCGGTCTCTAACCCTCGGGTTTGCTTGTGCCTCATCCTGCTTTAAATCTCCATTGTTCGACACAAGCCAGGGGAGTTGGGACCCCTGCAGCTGGAGCTCATTGTCAAGTGAGCCATGCTCCATCAAACAGTTCAAAAGGCTGGCCAGCAAAAAGCAACGATACGCCATGAGCGAACGTGGGACCAGACCTAACTCAGGCTCACTTCCAGCCGAAACCCTTAGTAGTAGTAGTAGTAGTAGTAGTAGTAGCAGTAGTAGTAGCAGTAGCAGTAGCAGTAGCAGAAGCAGTAGCAGTAGCAGAAGCAGTAGAAGAAGCAGTAGCAGAAGCAGTAGCAGTCGTAGCAGTGGTAGTAATAGTAGCAGCAGCAGCAGTATCTGTAGCGGTAGGAGAGGAGCAGGAGCAGTGGCAGTGGTAATAGCAGTAGCAGTCGTCGTAGTCGTTGGAGCAGCAGTGGTCCTTAACNNGAAGTAGAAGTAGAAGTAGAAGTACAGGAAGAAAAGTAGCGGTTGCTGCTGTTGTTGTTTTTGTAATACTTGTAGTTGATACTTTGTGCTGCAGTAGTAGCAGCTGCTTCCGGTGGTATTTGCAAGTATAACCATAATCAACCCAATTATCTTCATTCCATCGACATGATCCTCTCCATCACCATCAGCATCACCACCATCACGATCATGCAGGACCCCACCTCCGGCAACGCAGACGGAGGCGTGTCTGGATCTGTTCGTGGCTTGGGAGTGAATGGCGTCGCAGCCTGCAAAGAAAGAAACGATACAGCATACTGTATGGTCGAGCACACACGGTACAGCAGCGCGCAACACCTCAAGTCGTCCGGACTGCCCGCTATCCAAGATCAGCCTCATGTTAGTCCCTATGTGCAGTGGTACGGTCTAATCTCTCTAGCAGTCTAAACTATCTCATTTGCTGCACGCCATGCGTCAATGGGTCTTCGGAATGAGTGCATGTCTCTCGCTCTGGCTTGTTATGCTACGCTTGTTCCGAACTGTCACGAAGTGCTTGCCATTTATGTTCAACAGATTCATATCTCGACCGCCAAGGCAAGAGTGGAAAAGGGCAAACTGCTTAATAATGTTCAGTTTGAAGGTTGTCGGAATGCAAGGAACTTCTCAGATCCACTGCAAAACTGTTGCGGCATCGCTGTCGCCATAACAAGTACTACAGCGAGCCTCCACTTGCTTACTGGCCTCGGGCTCTTCGACTGCGGTACCTCAGCTCACTTCGCACAGTGTCTTGTCGAAGACAAGCCTCTCCCTGCTTCAGATTAACCAGTATGGCTTGGACTGCACACACATGCTATCTGCAGCCAAAAGACTCGCGCAAGAGTCCGGAGATCCATAGGGCAAGTCCTGACCGTCCACACGCATGAAGAGTATGACTTCATGGTGTTGGCAGACCTTGCCATTGAGGTAGTTGCCACCGACAGCCGTGAGTCCAGTGGCCAGGTCGTGGACGAGCTGATCACGTGCATCAATCGCCGAAGAATCGCGTTTAAAGCACGATGAAGCAAGCTAAAGCCAAGGACACCTGATTCAGTCGCATATTTTCCTCTTCCAAGTCCTGGCTGCTCTTCTTGAGACGCGCCTTGGCCAGACTTCCTCCAACCCAGATCCCTGACCTGGGTCATGCCCGAAACCCACGAGGTCCCGGCAATTTCGTCCAGGTGCTGTTGCACGGTCTGCTGGTGGCGCTGCCTTAGAGTGAACTCGAGGCACGACCGCCTCGAAGTATTTGGAAGCTGCTACAGGAGGTTAACTTCTACCAAATCTCCAACGATAGCCATGCATGCCTGGCCGTGCATATGCCCCATGTGCCTCACGATGTTACCACGTCATTGCATAAGCCCTACTGCGAATCCTGTCCAAAACCATGACAGCGAACTCATGCTGAAACAGTGTGGTGGCTGCTTGACAGCTTTGCATCTGGCTTAGCGGGGCCAAGCCTTGCTGTTTCCGAAAAAGGAGGCAGGTGGACTAGAAGAGTGAGAACCAGCATCCCGGGTTGGACAATAGTTGCAGTCATGGAAGAAAGCTGTTTCTTCAGTGAAGCTGCCGAACCCCACTTGGCTTCAGAGGCTTGTTCGCACACTCTGGAAGGGAGACTGGAGCCAGAGTTCTGGATGGATACGTGCTGGAATGAGCATCTGGCTGCGCCGAAAGTATTTGGACATGTGCGTTTCTGCGGCCGAAAAATGTTCGGGGAATCCGGATGCACACTCGACCATGTGGATACAGGATCCAGCGATGTTTGCGACACACCGATCCGGCAGCTTCACAATGCTTCATCGCAATTGGGGTGTGATTGGGAGCATCTGAGCATTAAGACATTAAGATTTCAATCTACCGCACAAATGTTGGCATTTGGCTGACGATCACAGACTCTGTCTGCAAGAACCCTAGTTTGATTGCAGCACGCAGCCAACATGATGCGCGAAGGCATCATCACATGCATGTTTGGTGCATACGTGGTGATCGGATGTATGGAGCGGGCTTCATCTGCGCGACCACCTAGCGCAAAACTGGGCTTCTGATCTCCGCACTCCTGGATTCGAAAGACATGTTTCACACACCACGCATGCCTGCTTGCCCCTGTTCCACATCTCTTCCGTCTTCTCCTGAACCTGGCTGAGTAGCTGAACCAAAACCTAACTCACCAAGGCTGTACACAGTTCTGAGCATCAACCGCTGGGTCAGAATGACAAGTTCAGGCATATTGCGGTGCGCCTTGTACTCAACCTCCGAAAGGACAAGCTCTTGAATTGCCTGGCTTCTGCTGCGATAACTGTTTTAAGGCAAGAGTTCTCTATTGGCAGCTTGCCTGATGCCCCGAACCGAAGGCTGCACAGCCCTTTCTTTTGCAAATGGCTAGATTCCATCAAGCTAGACACGGAATGCGCCACATCTGCCTGTGCTGCAGCTGGCGGCATTGCCCGCAGCTACTATGCAGCCGCTCTCACTGCAGATCTGGTCCAAGCGAACCAATCGTTGGCAGTTGTGCTGGAACTAGCTGTCACGCTATACATTTCCGGGACAAACGAGGAACCACATGCTTCCATCTGAAGCTGTGAATTTCATGCCAGGACACCCGACTTTCGTATGAAGTCGCAGCTCACATTCAACTATTTTTCCGGGCGTAACGTTGGAACACACCTGAGATGGTCATGGGCAACAGCCAATGAGGAGCTCTTGGCTGGACGCAGGCTAAAGGATATGAAGATTGAATTCAAAACCTCAGATCCGGCCCAATCAAACCGACAACTGCTGAGGTTTTCGGAAGTTATGGGGAATAGCCCTTGCTGCGGGGAGGCAGGCTCCTGCAGCCCCAACCGCCATCAGCGTGAAAGGCACGAGGGCTTTGCGACAGCTCTGATGCCAGGAAGGCTTCCTGGAAAAGGAAAAGGGCCGCAATGGACCCCGACCGGGACTTCCGTTCTAGTCGCAGGATGACATGCCAACACCGTCCTGACGAAGAGCTCCTCGCAACCGCCATGCTCAACGAAGTGCTCGATCGCATCTACACAGGCCTGCACTGAATCTCTCGGTCTGTGGTGCACTGGTCCGGGACGGATGTCATCACATGACAAGGAATGATGTGCATTGAACGTCGGATAGCGCTTGTGTGGTGGGTCTATATATCATTCCTCCTCTTGCGGGAGGAGCTCAAGCTCAAGCTATGGGTCTCTGACGCTACGTGTCTTGCCTCGCCTCTGCGCCTCCGGTCTTCAGCATCGACCGCTGCAGCTCCAAAGCTCGCTTGGCGTAGCTGCCATCAGCAAGGACCTTGCAAGCTTGCAGCCGCTTGCAGCTTGCGGTTGCAGTGCACATCGCAACCCTGCCTTGCTGACGGCGGTGGTGACATCAGCGGCAGTGAGTTTTGCTGGTGACAGGACCTCCGCCAGGCCCCGTTCACGAGCAAGCTTGGCATTGGCGGGCTGGTCGGCGCGGAACGGCAATGCAACGAGTGGCTTTCCAGCAGCAATAGTCTCGTTAAGCCCACCAAAGCCGCAATGCGTCACAACCACCGCAACGTCAGGGAGCTGCAATGCCTCGCCCTGCGGTAACCATTTCTGGATAAAGAAGTGCGCAGGCAATGCCTCTTTGCCCACCGGCAACATCTCCTGTTGCTCCGACTTCAAAGACCAAGCCACTGCACAGCGTGGCGACACTGCCTGGAGACCCTCGAACAAGGCTCGTACTTGGAAGGGCTTCAAAACCTGCATGCTGCCCATGGTCACGTAGATGATCCGAAGCCCCATGCCGCGGACCTCAGACAACAGAGCAGTTTGGTCTTGAAAGCTGGAGCTACCTAAACAAGCCTTAGGATGGCCCTGTACCGAGCCACTCGCTGCAGCCACGCATTGAAACGCTCATCCGAGGTTTCCCGCAAGATCGAAGAGGGTCTTGGGGCTGTTGAGCCGGTCATGATGATGTTGGGAGGCACTGGCCGTGCAGCATCCAGGCCGAAGAAGCTGTTCACCAAGCACAGCTGGGTGCTGAATGCAGGCATGAGATCGCACATTACCTGAAGGTAAGAGCAGCTGGCTTAATTCAAGCACGTCGACGGTGCATCAACTTGCAGAAGCCCGCAGAGCCTGCAGCATGATTCTGGTGTCTGTAAAGCTCCGTGTTTTGAGGAAGGAGATGGTACAAAGCATCAGCACAAGCGAGATGCCCATGTTCTTGAAGAGCTCCAGCGGCCCCGGAACATTCAAGATGACAGGGATCCCACACTCCCTCGCAGGCGTTACGGCTGCCAAAGTCACCATGTCCGCCACGACGACGTCTGGCTGCTCCGACTGTAGCCAGCTTCGGAATTCCTCCCTCATCGCCTGGTCATAGTGCCTGCCCATGAAACCGAATACAGCCTTTCCACCTGACCCTTGCGGCCCACCTGTTTGCTCTCACCTACGAGCTATCATAGCCTATCACAGAAAGCCGAGGGATCAGTCGCCAAAGCTCAGCTCGAGCCAGGCCTGAAGAGGATGCCAAAGAGTCCTTTCGACGTCAGCTCAGCGGCCCGTCCACTCTCGGCATCCTCCGCTGACTCCCAAGAACTCAACATTTTCAACCCCCGAACGGGATCAACTTTGATCTGTTGCTTTGCGGAGCATGGCTCCGAGCCCTGGATGCCCCTTGCCAGGCCGACGAACTCGCAGCCGGCTGCCTCGCAGCCTTTCGCGAACTTTTGTCGGGCACAGTCCTCGGCTTTCGGTCGCGTTGTAGACGCGCTGCAAGGCATGTTGCCCTTTGCAGCTCCGAGTGTCTAAGGTGACCAGGGCACTCTGATGCCCTCGCCGAGCCAAGGCTTTTGCAATCTGCACAGGTCTGCGCCACAAGTCACTAATACTGCAAGCCCCGTAGCACTGTAGCCTTGGCCCCGCGCCTGCACTGCAGGGACCAGGTGACCAGCCTCTGGAGTGGAGATGCAGGCGACCTTTAGCCGGTGCACCTGTGAGGGGCCAGCACTCATCAAACGAATATCCTTCCATGTTTCCGAAAAAGATACGAAGATGGATCCTTTGTATCTCTGCACCTCACGGCTAACTGTCAGGAACTCCCTGGCCACCTTTCCAGCAGGCCTGCAGGAACGTGCTGAAGCTTCCACAATGAGCAAGCGAAGCTCTGATCGTGCCTCTCTGGAGAGCGGTTTACCAGCAAGCTGGGCAGTGGCTCCATGGCGTATTCACGAAACCCTTCTCCGAGGTCAGCTGAAATTGCTTCGGCATTGCTCGTGAAACTGAGGTTGCCCGGGCTCAACAATGACCTTCCCTGAACTCTCCGAAGCGAACCCACAAAACACGCACCTCCAGGATTGACTCGTGCGAGGCATCAGGACTCAGGGTTTTCAGCTTGGCCTCCAGAGCCTCCATCAAAGTCACAGGCTTGCGGGTCACAACTGGGTGGACAAGTTGAAATCACAACACGTTGTGACTGAATGACATGGAACACTTCTGAGGTTCACACCTCGCGTGTCACGGGCCTCACCTGCAGTTGAGAGGGTGTGAGATCGACACCATTTTCAAGCCGCATGCTAAGATGATCTAAGATGTACACGCGAACGACCGGGGAACTTGTTGCGAACAGTATCTCTGACGTCTTTAACTCCTTGGGCCTCTGGGCTGCGCCTCTGGCTCTTGCTTCGTTCTGCGAGATGAGTGGCTGACTTGGAACGGAAGGGCTTCTGGCATGGAAAGCCAAACACCCAGGCTAGATTTCATGAGGCTTCTCAGATCTGCTAGCGTTACGTTGCACACAGCATGAACCTATGCTGCGAGCTGTCAGGAAGTTCACATCTCATCCTGCAGCATTCGACATACATACAGCAACGCAAACGGCACAGGTAATCTTATAGGACACACCCCAATCACCGCGCCTCCATAGCTTCTGCACCCACCGCGAAAGTCGCTGCAGAAAGGTCAGGCTCCAAGCCTTCCCGAACTCGGCAACTAGTGCCGATGGCTCGAAGTGCTGGGCTATACACGGTTGCACACTGCGGAAGCTTGCAGCCCACCTGGTGGGGATGAGAAGAGCATCTGCCCGTTCCTTGGTAGCACTGTGGCATGGGGAGCTCATGCCAACGCTGATACCGGATCTGGCTGCAACTGGGCATCATTCTCGTCACAGTCACAGTCGGACCAACAGACGTCACAATCAGCTATGAGCCAGAGGAGCCACGCGACGCAGGGATTGAGAACGAAAGCACGTCAAAGACATATCGTCTGTTAATCCGATGCGGACAGGTTTGGAGTTCTATGAACTCCTGGTGCCCTGTGGGGTTCCTTTGGGTTTTCTAGATCTGTAGAACAAGCTCTTTCAGGTTCTCTTCACGAACCCCCGCAAGTGCCTGAGGCAGCGCTGCTGGAGCCTGCCAGAGACCAAAACGGGAAAGCATCTTCTGACACGTGGCCTGGCGGTCTGGCGTGGCTACTGCGCATTGTGGCTGTGACATAACCGAGCCTTCCTCGCGACTTCCTTTTGGCCCAAGCTCAAGCTCGACCCGGCACTGCACAAAAAAATCCCTCGCCCCATCCTCTGAGCCATAGGGCTGTGTCAGCAGGTCGCTGGCTGGAACAGGTGCAAGATGTGCAAGCAAACCAAGCTGAGTCTTCAACGATCTCGGCAGGCTCTCGTTGCCGCTCTTGGCTGAACCTCGCTAGACAAATCCTCCAAAATGCGACGTTCAGCAAGGGACGACAGCGCCAAGTTTAGCAGGGCTTCGGAGAGCGCAGGGCGACGTGGCTAAGAGACGAAGTGAAGCGAGGCGCAGGAAGCCCATACATAACCAAGGACTACTGGGGCCCTGCCATCATCCCCTTGCCACAGCATCCCAAGCATCCCAAGGCATCCGCCATCATCAGCATCATTCGGCTGCGTTTCGCCGACGGCCCCTTCCGATGCTAAACCGCTAAGGTCAGGACTGGGCCCACAATGCGGGCAGAAGCAGAGCGGCCAGCGCCACCCAAAAGCTGTTGTTGGAGGACGAATCCTTCAATATGCAGCTGCGACGCTGAGGGCGCAAAGGACACTGCAACAGCCGGTGCTGCACCTTTTCGCCCATGGCTGTGGGAACTTTGAACTTTGGGAGCTCAAAACGTTTCGGTGTTTGCCAATGATGGACCAGGGATACATAAACAGAAACTTGAAGCTACTTGTGTAGACGTTTGGATAACGTGATGAGTCTTGCAACTGCCTTGAAGATCAGCTAAGCCGCAGAAAGCTGTCGTGAATTCCGAACCAAGCGACAGCGAGGCCGAGGCCGAGGATGGCGAGGGTCGCGACCAGGTCTCTCTTTTTTGTCGTGCATAGTGCATGGCCGCAAAGCGACGGCAGCTGAAGGCCGCGAGTCGGCTACGAGACGTGCATGGCAGAAAGTCGCTGCATGTCATTGCGGTCTGGGGCTTGGTTGCAACATTGCTTTTTAGGTTCCGCGTCCTCTGAACTCGGCCGCTACTTGCTACTGCTACTTGCTGTTCGCTTCTGGAGTCAGGCCCTCCTTCAGGGCTTTGACCTCAGCTTCTAAGCTGCTCAGTCCCTCATATTCTCCTGACTCCAGACAGCCTGACTTTAACTTCCAGCTTTTGAGGGCATGGCGACGTCAATCACGGTATCTCCGTCTCCATGGTCCTCGCCACCAGATGGCCAACCGTGTACAGGTGCAGAACAGACCGACTGCTCAGCATCCCCACAGACATCAGCAGGCGGTCCCGGATGTAGTACCGATTCCCGTATGTGTTCTGGACTTGCCTTGAACACTGCATCACAACTGTTGCTGCCAGCAACTGCCGCAAAAAGGCCTCCAGTAGGTCAGAGGCTTCCTGTCAAACACACACACACACACACACACCGCGTCTACGGGCGGCTGTGAGATGCGATTACACAGGCGGTGCCCACTAGCCACAGCCACTATTCGGGCGCATCTGCATCAAAGCACTAAGCCCTTGGCATCTTCTCCACCTCCGATCCGGCATTGAAATTCACCACGTAGCCATCGCCCAAGCCACCCGTGTCGTGAACGTAGATGACCTGGCTGGCTGAGTGGCCACTGAGAGGCCGACGCCCACCTGAAACGCATCCGAGCGCGCTGTCCGGCCATCCGGCTTCCAGTAGTCTCTGATGGCCAGGCCTGAAAGGGGTTGAGGAGTCTCTCAAACATGGCCCCCCGGCCCAGGCTCTCCTGGGGTGTTGGGGAAGGTCTGGGTCAGCACGCGCAATCGGACCTGGAAAACTGCATACGTCGATCTGTCCTCGAGAGAGGCGGGAAGCTCTCCGGCCTTCGCCGCAGTCTCGATCTCTGCGATGTACCCTGCCAGCTCTCGCTCTTGACTGTTGGTCAAAATCCTGGCTGAAACGTCGGGGTACAGCTTGAGAGTTCAGGATCTCACGGACAAAACGGAACTCCTGGCTACATCGATGACTGGCGTGGTCGCTGCATCGGTCTTTGGCAGCAGCTCCGGTCGATTGACACCTGTCCGCATGCTGAGAATCTCAGCCGGCGCCGGTTCTTCTTTTGGCATCAGACCTTCCGGCCGCTTCGCTTCGGCGGCGGGCGCCTCGAAGTCTGCAAGGCTGTGAATGTTCCCGAGAGACCCCACCTCACATGACAGATCAAAAACCTAAGGATGAAAAACTCTTTGGAGACTAACACGCCAACAGATGAGATTATTGAATGTTTTAAAGGGCTCGGAAAATGTCGCTTTGAAGAAAGCCTCACTCCGAGCCAAGGGAAAAAATAGATATATAGATATACATGCATGTGTTGGAATATATGTGGGCAGGCATGCATGCATGAATGCATCTATGCATACATGTATGTATGTATGTATGTATGTATGTATGTATGTATGTATGCATGCATGTATGTATGCATGCATGCATGCATGCATGCATGCATGTATGTTACAAGTAAGTAAGCAAGTAATTAAGCAAGCACGCAGGCACGCAGGCAAGCAAGCAAGCAAGCAAGCAAGCAAGCAAGCAAGCAAGTTAAGTAAGTAAGTAAGTAAGTAAGTAAGTAAGGAAGGAAGGAAGGAAGGAAGGAAGTAAGGAGGAAGTAAGCAAGGAAGCAAGCAAGGAAGTAAGTAAGTAGGTACGTATAGATGTATGTATGTATGTACGTACGTATGTCGGTGTGTATGTAAATATGTATGTGTGCATGTATGCAGGTATGTATGTATGTATGTATGTATGCATGCATGCATGCATGCATGTATGTATGTGCGTGTGTTCATGCATACGTATTTGTGTGGGTATGTACGTATGTATGCATGTCAATGCATGTATGTATGTGTGCATGCGTGTGCATGCATGTATGTATGTATGTATGTATGTATGTATGTGCGTATGTATATATATGTGGGTATGCGCGTATGTGCGTATATGTACGTGGGTATGTGTGTGTGTATGTGTGTATGTGTGTGTGCAGTGTATGCGTGTATGTGTGTATGTTTGCATGCATATGCGTCCATGTGCATGTGCATGTGCATGTGCATGTGTGTGCATATGCGCTTTCATATGAACATGTAAACGCTATTACATATGTAGATACATACGCATCTAGATATACCTACGGAGAGGCAGAGAGCGAGAGAGACACCAAGCGAGAGAGAGAGAGAGAGAGATCGCTTTTGTATCTTTTTCTGTCTAACTACATAGTTACCTGTTTAGGTATGCATGCATATATGTATATGTGTACATATATGTATGTATGTATACATATATGTATAACTAATAATACTTGTAGTAATATTAATATTCATAATAATACTAATAATAGTATTGTGAAGCTTTTTCAGGCTGCAAACCCACCCCAACACCCCACAACATGCCTCTCCCTTGGCTGCATCCCACCTCCGTGGTATGATCCCTCCCGCTGCCCTTTTGGCCGGCTGTGTTGTCTACGATGCTGATGATGGTGGTTCTTGTCACCAACTTCGGACAGGCCCCTGCAATTTCAGCTAGCTGTCATGTTGCTTGCACCTTGGACCTTGTCAACACGATGATGAGGAGGAGGAAGATGATGATGCTGATGATGATGATGATGATGATGATGATGATGATGATGATGATGCTGGTGATGATGACGATGGAAATGTTGGCCCCTCTTTATGATTCCAGCAGGCAGAGGCTGCCATGCTATGGCAGCATGGCAGCAGCACAAGCACGAGAAGCGGCGTCAGTAAGAATATCATCAGCGCAACTTCTTCGTTGTCTACATATATCTCCATCAGTCTCATCCGCACGGGGCGGCGGGTGGGGGCCGTGGGGGTAGTGCTGAAAATGAGACAGTTACGAGGATATCGATGCGGACGTCCCTGTGCCCGTTTGCACTGTTGAGAGGCCTGGGTTGGGGAAGGCCACTGACACGGTGACGCGGAACCCTTACATATATGTGTGCTTACGAGTAATACTAGCAACAACAATAATAACAATTGTCAGAATAACAACAAAGATATTTCGGGGATCTTGTAGAGGACATCACTCTGCCTGCGCGAGCACGAGCAGTCCCAGCAGGCCCCGGCGCGAGGGACTCCAGCGTGGCAAAAGAACAACCAAGGCGGTACGGGCTCATAGGCTCGTTCGAATTCCTGCCTCGCTTTCTCGGAGGGAACAGCGACAAAGGCGAGAGCCTGAACACCCAGCTCAAGCTTTCAGGCATGAGAAGCAACGGAATGCACGCTATGAAATCCCTGCGGCACCTCGAGGAGCCCAGCACAAACGGCAAACAGCAGCAACCCTGCACTTGCATTATGTATCATGCTCCATAGCCGTAAGCTAGATGTCTCTGCCTCTGCGGAGCGAAAGCCGGACTCTTCCTCAACGAGACTCCAAGCCACTGGACATGAACATCGGAAACTTGGGATAACCCATACTCCAAGCCGAGGTTGGCACCCGTGTGCCTACCCATGCTCACCCAGGCCATGGACAGGCAGAGCCGTCACTTAAACAACAGACGAAACTCCTAGCAGTCCTTGCATGATGATCCTTACGGTGCGGCTATTTATGAACTTTCCCCATCGGGCCCATGAGCCTCTCGAAATGCTTGAGAAGCCCTCATAGCATCGCAAACGGCAGTCAGTGCATAAGGAAAAATGGCACGAGCAGGACAACCAACAGTATGGGCCTACAGGCACCACGCTTTCGTGCACTCGCTCGACTCTACTCTGGAAACTATCACTGAAGGCACTCCTGGGGGTGAGACAAGAGCGAACATGTTGGAAATGCCACATCTAGCTTCGTCCTCAAGCTCTCTGCGTCATCTCTGCCATCTAGGACTAGGAAAGGCACAAGTGGCTCCAACGGCTGCAGCGTCTCGGATTTCTCAGTTCGCTCACCAAGGCTTCAAATGGTATGTGGCAAATGGGGGGAGCAGTCCACTGCTGGAGTTCCCGAAAAGCCATGAAGATGCATCCTCACTTGTTGAGGAGCTCGGTTTTCTTTTTCTCTTTGGCCTTCCAAGGCAAGACACGGACGGCGGCAAGAAAGCAGCACTCAAGCCCCGAAAGGCTTCGAGTTGAATGATCGCTTTATTGACGGTTGCAACACTTGAACAAGGCACCGAAGTCAGGGTGCCCCCTGCCGCCTCCAGAAGCTTGCGCCTCTCGTTCCGAGCCTCCAGCGCCTGCCGAATCCCCGTGAACGGGGTGTTGTAATTGCCTCTAGCCTTCCAGCTCTGAACCCGTACAACCTGGAGTAAGAACCTCTGGCGGACAAACGCCCCTGAAGCTGAGCGCCTTCTCGTAATCCTCTTCCAAGGTTGCTTTTCTGAAGCCCTCGCCCAGGATCTGCATGTTCTCCGAGAACTCCTCAGCTTTGCATTCAGAAGTCACCCAGTGTGAAATATCTGGGCACGCTGTCCTCCGTACCCAGCGCGCTGCCTTCCTTGTCAGGGTCCCAGCTGGCAGACATCATGCCGTAGGCACCACCTGATGGGGCAGGCAGCGAATCGAAAAAAACCATGGTTTCTGCTTTGCATGTTCAGGCCCAGACCGAAGATGGCAAGAGCCAGGAGCGCCAGAGTCACGAATGCCATGAGAGTTGGCGGTATGATGATCTCCTCGCTTTATCCGCTTCTTGGGAGAGCTCAATGTGTGCAAAGGCCTGAGTCTTGAAAAGGACGATTCCAAATCCAAACACCGCGAGCATGGTGGCGTAGAAGGAGCCTCCGATGACCATTCCTGGTACAGGGTCATGCCATTGGAGAAGTGCAGCTTAAGATTCACGGCCACTTCAGACAGAGTGAAGACACGATCGCTATGGACGAACTTTAAATGATGTTTCACCCCAAATGGCTGGCCGTGCCTCGCTTCGCTACACGCTCTGCGACTGGTGGTGGCATCACGGCGACCTCGCGGCCGTACCTGAGCCGTTCAATACAGTCCAGGAGCCAAGCCCGATGTTTGCAGGACCCGCGCTTTGCGATCATGGCTTTCCCCATCTCGTATTCATCGAGCTCTTCCTGTCACAGCGCATGCTGATCAACGAGGCCATCCAAGTCGACTCGTGCCAGTCGGAGGCAAATCGTTTCCTCCCTTCTCAAGAGATTGCGGATTTCAAACCGGCCCTGACCTTCTGACTACCCATGAGGTCCGGCCAGAAACAGCTTGCCTGCCTTGTTAAGACTCACAAGCCTCTACAAGTATCAAGTCGCAATCTTGCCTCGCGTTTCTGTCGAAGGGCCAAAGTCTTGTCTCGCAGGTCACCGAGGCGCTGCTTCCTGCCACCACTTTGCTGTGAGTCAACCCGGAAGCTGTTGCCAGGTGCCCCTCTCGTGACGCATCAGGATTCCGGATTTCACTGCTCAAGCCACGGACTAGTGAGACTAGCCAGAGGATGGTACAACGAGGTGGACCGCTCATCTGAACAACTTGCAGCGCGACCCAACGCTTGATCTTTGCCTTTTTCATTGAAGCATCTCGCCCAAAGTACAGATGTGATGGCATTCGCGTTGGAGCCAGAGTCGTGCACGACGGGTTAATTCACGCACTGGACCAAGCATTCAGACGACGGGAGATCCTACAAGATTCTCGCACACGAGATTCGCAGGAGACCGATAAGTATCGCTAAAACCCCTAAATCATTGCGGCTTCAGGTTTGAAGGACTCATCCCAGTTACCGTAGCAAGCCCAAACTCCCGAAAAAATGTGCCCTCGAAGCCCCAAAAGCTGCCACGAACTAACCCTGAACCTTAAAACTGAAAAGCCCGGAACCGTGAAGGATAGACGAAACCCTAATGAGACCGTGAAGCCTAAACCCTCAGCCTAGAAGGCCCAAAACCTTGAAGACTACGCGCTGGACGCTAAATCCCTCAATAACGTTGTGCTTTGCGATCTCAACCCGTGCCAATTACCTACCAACCCTGACCCTGAGCCCTCAATCCTTGACTTTACCCTAAATCGGAAAAGGATGTCCACCCTAGCCCTAAGCCCCAAAACCCTTAACCCTAAATGCTTTGAGCACTGAAAACCACAACCCTTAAGCCCAAGACCCGAAACCATCTTCAAACCCTTGCATCTTGCAAACCTGATAAAAGCCCTAAACAACCCAAATACACGAAAATCTCCAACCCCCAAACCTCAAACATACGAAACCCACATCCCAAATACCCGAAACCTTCTTTAATGGTGTGAGCTCGAATCGCACCCGCTTCAGTCGTGCGTGACTGAATCGCGCGCGCACGCGCGAGCGCGATTTTGAACCGCCGGAGCTTGAATCCAGGTGGGACGTGAAGTTTGAATTTCGATTTGCAGTGTGGTTCATGCTCGAATCGCGATCTGCTACTTGCCGATAATTTGATGGAGCAACAAACATCGTCTGAGCCAATGGAATGGAAAGTGTCGGAAAGTGCCGGCTTGAACTCTTTGAAGCAGGGATTCGGCCTTCCCACTTTGCCCAGGTCGTCATGCGAACATTTCTCAATGCGCCGATCCACAATTGTCGTCGCTCTTTATAATCGGCATTGCCGCGGTCAAAGCACTTTCGGAAACGAGCATGCGAGCAAGCAATGGTCGAACGGTGTGCTCTCCGAAGTGTGAGGAAGAATTTAGCCTCTTCGCAGCATTTCGCGAACGCCTGCAAACGACGCATGCACGACAAAGTCGAAGATAAGTGTGGCCAGGCAATCCGCCACAAGAAGTTTATTCAGCTCTCGGCCTCCCTTGCGTGACTTGCATACATGCTTGGTAATATGACTCGCAGATGAAGCTGAAGCCACAGCAAGCTGTATGACAGAGGGGATCTGTCATCATCATGTCTGGTGTTGTCACTGTAGGTGATGAACGCATGGTTGACTAGGAGTCTCGATGTGACATACCCCGGTTCGTCGTGATAGAAGCGCTTGCACACTGCACGGACGATTGGATCTGAGGTCTTGGCGTCAGCGCCTTCGTCTTTGAAGACTTCTTGTTCTGGGCATATTCACCGAGAGTCGGGTTCTTTAATCCAAGCAAAACGCTCATGTTCACCACGCTCAGACATGCTCAAGGCTCTTCTGGACACTGGACACGTGAAGAGGCTGCCACGCAAGTGAACTCTACCCAGCAAGCAGGCCTTCATGATGCTAGTCTTCTTCCCACTACCAGCCTTCAGGCACCAGGGACATGCGTGCCGCAAGGCCGGCGCTGAGCTTGCAAACTCCAAACAACGACAGAGCACCTAGCAGCCGAAGCTCCACACACTACCCGCGGACCACTCCATGGAGTCCAAGACACACACCACACTGTGGCGGACTGCGCAGTGTGGCGAAAAGACCATGTGCACCCAAGAACGCACGGAACAACGGCGATTTCGAGACTAGACCAAGGAGCCGATGAGGCGAGAAGCGTGGCCCTGCCAGGACTTTAGCGACTTCGACCGACGGGACTATGGTGGGAGAAAACCAAGTTGGACAACGCCAAAGTGGAGGACTTCACCATGACGCCGCTCACACGGGACTGTGGAAAGGACATGCGGGCACCTCGAGGTCACACTAAGCCACGGAATCGTGGTCTTACCGCACTGCTGGGGGAAATGCCCCGATCGCCTCCTTCGCATTCTTCTCTGGAGCTGCCTTCGACAGGGTACCAAAACTAAGTTCGGAAGGGGCCAGACATTTGACATGGGAGGTAGTGGGCGCTCAAGGGAGCCAGTCTTGAGGGGTTTGCTGACACAAGTCGTCGAAGAGCAACAGTGAGACAAGCACTGCCCAACACAAAGTCTGACAGACACGGAGAGCCACTCAGTCCATGCACAATGCAGCTGTACAGCAGTGAAGACTGGCTTGAATATTCAAGCCTCTGTCGTCAAGCAAGTATGCGCTTCCGCCCCTGTGGCATCATGTAAGTTCCTGTGTCAGCCGGATCGCTTGTAGCGGTCAGGCTCGGAGCCAGCGAGCTTCTGAAGAGCTTTAGCCACTGTAGCTGATCACATTGGGTTAAGCAATTCCGGAAGGCATCTTGCCTCGCTGTCGCCAAAGCCCTGCAGAAGAAAAACGTTCCCACCGAAAAGCTCCAACAAGGGAACGAACGCTATGACCTCTTGCGACGGAACCAGAAATAGCACCTCGCCTTCGATGCAGCGTACCTCGGTTGTGCATGTTGCTCAGCCAAGCGTCATATCGGGATCACATCGCGAGACGGGCCTCTGTGTCGGAAGTGTCCTCGACAGCTGTGCCACCTCGAAGCCAAGCGCACAGCAGAGACACTCGGCAACCTCTGAGCGCTGGAGGCTCCGTCCGAGGGCCAGGCTCCGGTGAAGCTGGGCGCGGCCTTCCGCGTTATGGCAGAGAGGCATCTCACCGTTTGCCTTGAGCCCGGCCTGGAGGGCCAGGCAAAGGCCCCCAGAAGCCATGAGGAGCCGGCGGAGCCACCTGCAAAAAAAGGAGGAAGTGGTCATTTCGCCGCCAACGGCCCAAGCTCAAGCATGTCCGAGGCCTCCCGGGTCTGCGTGCGTTGCCCCGCACAGACATGGCCTTGCGAGGTCCGACACAAAGGCTTGAGAGGGATTCTACCATAAGGTTGTCCTGCAGGTACAAGTAGTAAGTTCGACTGCATTCCTGTTCTTCCTGCTTTGCTGATGGGATCACATACTTCCGAAAAAACGGCCACGTTAGCTTGCTGTGATGCTGTCATTTCGAGATTGCGGTGCTATTCGCGCATCTATGTTGTCGAACAGGAATACCCTCTTCTCATCGTGTTGTGGTTGTGACAAGGACGGTTCCATCTCATCGAAACACCTGAACATCCAGCATGTACCTACATTGGCGCTTGCAGTGTTTTCTCCAGCTCATGTGCCGTTTGTGTCGCTCCCCGCTGTGTTCGCAGCATGTGGGTGTTCAGGGCAGGTTCCGACTCGTGGTCAGACTTAGGTTCATTATGTTGTTCCGTGTGGCGTGCGGCAGTGGCGGGCGAATGACGTCCTCTCGCAGAACCACAGGTGATGGCGATGATGGTGATGATGTTGATGACGATGACGATGACGATGACGACGACGATGACGATGCTGGTGATGGTGATGGTGATGGTGAGGTTGACGATGATGATGATGATGATGATGATGATGATGGTGATGGTGATGATGATGATGATAATGATGATGATGATAATGATAATGATAATGATGATGCTTTTACCATTGCTGGAGGTCTCCACTGCACTGCCTTGGTTTAGGCAGGCCGGATGATGGAGCGACTTTCTGCTGGTGAAACGTCACTTATGCATGTAGATGCGTGGAGATATTCATGACTTTCACAAACCTACACATGTGTGTGCACATCCCCTGTTTGTAGTTCATGTATTTCTTAAACAGAATAAAGCCAAGCTGTATTCGTGTACGCCTCGCAACCATTTGTCTTTTGGCGTATCTGCCGAGTCTGTGGCGGCAGTTGTGCGCGGATTGTTTTGAGGCAACCCCAGAAACGTGGACAGCGGCAGTTTCTGGCCCCTTGCTGACTTCGTTCCCTCCCCTCCCTCCCTTCAACGCCTCCTTTTCCCCCTCCTTTCCCTGCCCGCCTCTGCTCCCAACCGTCTTCGCTTCTTTGCTGGATTTTTGCTGCCCTTCCTTCCCTCTGCGACACCTGCTTCCTCTGTGCTTCCTTGCCCTCCCCTTGCCCCAATTTGCGGCATGACTGCACCGGAAACTTAAACACTCAATCCCGAACTCTGGCCGTGGACAATCTGCTGTTTGTCTGCATAATCGGCTGCTGGCTGCGAGCACGAGCACGGAACTCGAGGCGACTCTCGCGCTAGCGAATAAATCGCTACTACTACTACGACTACTACTACTACTACTACTACTGCTACTACTACTAATATTACTACCACTACCACCTGTCCTCGTCGTCCTCGTCCACCCTTCTCGATCACACTCACAAGCGCAATGGAGTTCTACCCGTGTCAGACTACACTCTGGGTACTTGGACCTCAGACTCCCAGACGATGAGGAGTTCGACTGATGGCAGGTCTCACAGTTGACGCGGGAACCGGGAAGCCAGGATGCTGGGGTCGGCATGAGCTTAATTGCAGCCGAACCAGTGAGCCGAATCTCGGTTTGAATTCCGAGATTACTGAAGCTACCTTGCTACCAGTACTTCGTCTTTCAGTTGCAAAGCAAATGGTTCGCTGTGGAGGGTATCTGAGTCGGCGGCCGAGGCTACCAAGCACGGTCCCACGAATACTTGTGCTGTGGCTGAGATGAAGCGGAAATCAAGTCCAAGGGCGGTTGAAGGATGCAACTGCTACAACGCTGGCTGACATTCAAGCAACTCGAGCTCAAGCAGGAAACCAAGGCACACAGACCTAATACAAAACTTTTGTTTCCACCGCGCTCTCATTTCTGACAGGTTCATTAGGATCATTAGGTTGCCCGTCCGGGCCACATAAACTTGCGTGGAGTGTCTCTTCGAGGCCGTCCGACATCAGCTTCACTTGTAACGGACAAGGAGTGTGTCACCCTGTATCATGAAACTACAGTAGCGCCCTCGCTGTACTGCGACCTCGCGATGGCAGACACAACGTCGTGCAAAGGTGCCGTGCCACCCGGTCCTTCTCTTCAGACCGACACAGTCTAGAGAGCCAATGTGCTTAGTAGATGTGGCAAACTGCAGTTCCAGCTGTCGCTCGTCTCGGTCTGCAGTGGACCGTCGCACCGTTTTGGCACCCAGCTTCTCAGAGCAAGTAAGACTCGGATGCCTCCAAATGTCGAAATCTGTTCAGGCCACGTCTTGTGGGAAATGACGACTGGCGTGCCTAGCAAAGGTCAACCAAAGAACCGATGAGCAGCGCAAAGATCTCGAACGAATCGAATGGACTTCGCCCTAAAAATCCTCAGAATTAAAGAGCTGATCCTCCTGAGCTGATCCTCCTATGTTGCAAGCATGACTCGACTGCCGAGGCACCAGCAAGCCCTTGCTGACCGCATCACGTGTGAAGCTTACATGCTCTGAAGAAGCTCGATCCTACCAAACACTACTGGTCCAGAGCTGCCGCTTCGGATGATGTGGGGGACCTGCAAAGAAGCCTTGGTGCGACTATCGAGTCTTACATCGGCTATTTATCAATGGCGCACTGGAGACTTTCTGCGGCGAGGAGGAAAGGATGCCAGCAGCCAATCCGTGTTTGATCTGCTGAATCGAAAGCCGCCCAGCTAGCATCTGCTTTGGCCTCAACTCGCCCTCCTCTGCTGGCTTTGGCAGATTTTCTACACCAGCGAAACAGCTGGGTGATCGGTTGCGGCGTGCCTGTGGGGACTGACACACAATAAATAGAACCTGCCGTCATGAGATTCTCCTAGAGGCCAATCCCAGGCTTCCGAATTCCATGTCAATTGGACTGCGCTGCCAGAGCTGTACTGCCCTGACATGCAGCCTTCCACGTAAATGCATGGAATGTGAAACTGAGCACCTCTGCCCTTGTCTGGTTCGAAAATGCTACTCAACCCGCTGCTCCTGGTATCACTAGTGGCAACCAACAGAGCAAGACAAAGTAACCAGATGCGTCATCTTCGATCCCAGACAGAGTAACGAGACGCAGCATCTTCGATCGTCAGAAGAAAACTTGCAAAGTCTGTGGGAGTCATCCTGGGAACCTGCATGGTAAACTCGGACTGTTTGGACAGTTCTTAGTTGGTTTGCCTGTCCCTGCTTGATCTTCTGGTGGAGCTGGTGCAATCAGTTCCGCTTGCAACGCATGGTGCCGCTGCCGCTTGTCTTTTTTGCAGGCTTCTTGCTGCATCTGCTCTCACTGAATGATGGGTCATCCAGCGCTGCTTTTGCGCAATGACGCTTGTCGAAAGTGAGACTGGGATTGGGCATTCCACGGAACCTCATGCGCATTGCCAACATGTAGCAGAGTTACGCACCACGAGGTGGTCCAGCGGTATAAATTCAGGCAGCTCTCTTGGCGTCTCACTAGCTCCGAGATCGAGCTTCTTGTCATGGGCATCCCTGCAGCTCACCAGGCCGACATACAGCGCTTGAACAAGGATGATTAGGACCTCAGTCCATGTCAAACGCATGCAGTTCGGGAACAACATGACAAAAGCCAAGAGAACGCAGCAGCCCTGCACTGTGGGTGCTCGTGACTCCCGTGACCGAACTTCTCAACCCTGACCCTATCTTTTGTGTTACGAGTTTGCTGGTCCACAGTTTGCAGAAACAGAAGGGGGCCTCAGGCCAGGGTTAATTCTAAGACTTGTCAATCCTTGACCTTCTGAGAGAGAACCTAGTATACTGGAACATGCAATATGTGCCGATGAAAATCGGCATCTTCCGTAAGGTCTCCTGCCCGACGAAGGAAGGTGTCGGTGCTTGATCCAGCAATGCAATCCAAGCAGCTGAAGCCAGCCCAAATCCTAGTCGTGCTGCAGCCACGGGGTCATGCCAGTCGAAGGTTGCATAGATCGGACATTCATCATCCGGATAAAGCTCCTCGCACTGGGCCGTCTCATCTTCTGGACATCTCCAACAGCCTCCAGGCATGCCAATGCGCAAGGCATAATGGACATAAGTCCATCCGACATAGATGATCTGGTACAGGAACAGCCAACCGACTCGCGCACAAGAGAAGGGAATACGGGTCAAGAGAAGGTTTATGAGCAGAAGGCCGGCATTGATGCCATGTAGGAACACATCGATGTAAGGTAGCTCGCCTCCGGGATAGATCAGGACCCAGTAAAGCACAGCCACCGTCAGCGACAAAGGCTGTGACAGGCAGTTCAGCGCCATGGAGATGCGGACAAGCCAAGGCTCGGCAGGCGCAACCATATGGTTCTGTACGTATGGAAAGCCCAACATAGCCACCACCCACTGCAGGACCAGGTCAACCGCTTCGATCCAGCTCGCCTGCACTGTCAAGAACATGAAGTGGTATGCTCCTGGAGGGTCACACAGGTTCAAGCACTACTACCCTCGGTTTGCAGACACGAATTGGATACTAGCTGGCTGAAACCACCCGCTCCGTCGTCTCTGCCGCGCACCCACCAGTTCCAGATGACGTGTGCAGTAAAGATGGCAGCCCAAAGTGCACGGAAGGACACGGTCAACAAGGGCCTTGTCCATGGCGATGTGGCGAAGGCTTGCGGCCACTGCTGCGAGTTCCACTCCGGGCAGACGGAGCTGGACAGGCCCATGTCTCGAGCTTTGCCGAGAGGGCTTGAGATCTTGAAAAAGCGAAAGCATTCTGCACAGGAGAGCTCCATGCAGGGCAGGCACTCGTCCTAGCGTGTTGCAGCCTTAGAGCCCTCCATGTCAGCTTGATTGGACGTTTGCCTCAGAATTGTGCGACCATCGGCGAAAAAAGACAAGCTCCGCTCCGGGAGTAAGGGGATGGCTTTCGCAGCCGCCTTTCGGACCCTGCACAGAGGACTCTTCGGAATGCTCTAGGCACGGCTTGACAAGAGGACAAAAAAACGCCCTCCTCTAGGCTTCAGCGAACCTAGACTTGGGAGTGGTTTCAAGCCAGAAAGCCTAAATCAAGGAACCCAGAATACTCTCTGAACGAGGCTGATGAGGAAGCTTGCGAGAAAGGGAGCCTTTTCATCGTCGCTTCCCCGTCCGGGATGCCAATGAGGCAGCTTGCTGGCAGCTTGGATGGCCTTCCATCGCGGATTCGCAAAGTGGTGACTCTCCTTTGCATGTCCCAGATGCCTTGAATCCTTGAAACCCAAACATACTTTTGTGAAAGACAAACATGGGCTTCGTGTCCTGCCTTACCGTCTGCTGATTTCAAGTTGAGTTGGCAGAAGTTGGGCTTCTCACACTAGGTATCAGGCAGTCGTTCTTCGTTTTCTCACCCCCGTTGTCTGCAGGTCGCTTGCGCATGCCTCCTCCGTGCGGCCTCATGGCACCGGGCCTCTGCATCCTCAGCTCGTCGAACGGGAAAAAACACAAGGCACATGCCAAAGGTTCACTCCGACGCCAAAATCACTCTCTAGCTATGATTGGCTGCTTCATACCCTCCCATGCCAGTTAACGCCAGGGAACCATCCAGGAAGCAAGGCTTGGGCCCGTCCCGCTTTGAGCGTTGGATGTGGGCCTGGATGCGTTCGCACTGAGCAGGTTCGGGGCTGGGGCTCAAGGGCGCGCACAGGTTCGGGCGCTGGGCTCGTTCCCAGGTCCGCGGACCTGGGAGAAAGATAGAGGCAGGGAGAACGGTCAGTCGTTTCACAGACTTTGCTACTGTGGCACTTTGTCTCTGCTTCTGCTGCAGCTCCCGAAAATCAGCCAGCCAGGCCTCGACCGACATGTCTGTAATTTTCCCTATCGCAGCAACAGCGCCTGCCTCCCAGTCTTCGTCAGCGATGTCTGGGTGGTCCTTCCAGGGATCCTCGTAAGGCGGAGGCCTCCATGGCAGGGCTCCTAAAACAAACATAATAAACTGGTTGCAGCGTGATGTGATCTGGTCCTGCCTCCATGCAGCACACCGCATCAACGTTTTCGTTTGAGGAGCATCATCCTCGCAGACGCCCGGGAAGCGATTCGAAAGTTCCAACTCTTGCAAGCTGACATGCAGCCTCCTCACTATTGCCAATGTCCAAAGCAGGGCTCGTTGAGCCCGAAATTGTTGAGGCTGTCGAAAGCCTCAGCCGACCGCCCCCATCATGGCAGAGCGCACTTTATATTGGTTATCTTGGAGCACCCCTTGTCAGAGGCGGTGGCGCAGATTTGCAGGAGAGACTCGCCACACTGAGCAAACCTCGGATGCCGCATAGCCCTCGAGTCCCGTCCGGACATGACCTTTGAAAATAAGGTGAGGCACCGATGCTACCGGCTTTGCTCACTGTCGAAGACGGCAGTGGACAAGGCCTCTTCTGGCGAGAAATTGCCGTCAGTGCTCCGGCTCCAAGACAAGTAGCGAAACAAGATTGAAAAATAGGCACACACACACACAGAGTTACGTAGATTGCACGGCACGATGCAGAGAAACATGGCGGCTGCTTGCTTTGGCCTGTGATGGCCTGTCTTTCACAGAAAAAATCCTCTCCTGCAACCTGTGGATATCTGGCATGCATCAAGACCGACGTCGCATCTCGGGACGCCGGTGTTGGTCTAGCCCTTCCTGTTCTTTGTTTCGTGCAGACGTAGTCAGAGCAACACCACCCGAGTCATCAGAAATCAGAGCACGTGAGTGATGAGCTGACACTTTGCTCGCTGGAATATGTCGATGTATGTGTCCCAAACTACTGCATGGGTGCTTGCCAGCGGCATATCTGACGTTCTCACGCTTTGGGCGCACAGTCTGGTTTGACGTAGTCCTTTGGTATGCAAACTCGAAACAAGCAAAGGTTTGTCAGCCAGGGACGGGGGTTCTGTCTCGATATGCCTTCACCTTTTAGCTTCGAAAGTCGTAGACCTGGAATCCTGGCGATGGTGTAGACCCCTGGATCATCCCCTTTGCCCCGAGACCGGAGGCGCAGCGCAAGATGCACCGACGGGTATAGTCGGTCTCATGTGCACCAGCCGAGTGGCTCGGGTAGGGTGTCGTGAGATTGGGCATCCCCTGTACCGAAATGGAGACAAATGCCTCATTGGCGATAGAAATGATCTCCGGACTCCTGCAGAGCGTAATGGAAGATACGCTTTGGAGCAATGTCCCCGATCAACTCAACAGGGGACCGATTGCGACGTTGACATCTTCGTCGGAGCAGAGATGGGGTGTAGGGACTCCGACTCCCGTGCAATCAAGGATGCCAAGAACATTGGCACCGCCCTGGAATGTGCCAAGCTGGGGAAGGCGCTTTCGGCTGGGCTCCGGAACAAGCCAGGCGCTGAAGTCCGCACGAAAAGTCCACGTAGCAACCTCCAGCAAGCAAGTCATGCCAAGCCTAGGCAGTTGCGCGCAGACGCTGCTGCGACAAACATAGGAAAACGCTTGACGGACACGCTCGTAAACACAAGAGTCCATGAAAGACGCCACGGTGCCATCAAGGTCCAAGAATTACAGGCAGTCGCATGCCCAGTTGCGCACATGCCGGTGCAACTTGACATCGGTAGCAGCATGCGACCGCCAACCGTCTTCTCCACACGGCCCTAACGATTAAAGCCCAGGCACGCCTGTCCACGAAAGTCGTGGCACAAAGGGCACAACACTCAACTGGATCGGTGGATTCGGCGATGATCTGTATGAAGCAATGAAGCCGCCAGTCAAAGCTGCCGGAGCAAGAGACCGCTCCGAAGCAAGCGGCCGCTCCCGATTTGGGACGCCGAATCCCAGTTTTGCGGTATCGTGGCCTTCCACCGTCCGGGGAACTCGTTTGCCTCGCGAGAGCATTCCGCCCACGCAGAGTGCCGTGTGTCCCCGCTCGTCTGAATCCACAACCATTCAGCGGATTCCTGAGCAAAACCTCCGGGGTGGCCAAACGTATGCACAACAAATATCGGAGGGAACCCTGTCGGCACCAAGATGCCACGGCCCGAAATTTGGCCTTAGTGAGGTCCCGAATATGATGGAGGATAATCCCTAGATGTCTGTATGTCGGAACATTGCGGAGCCTGGCGTCCGGCCAAAGTCGGCAATGAAATCGGGGGGGTGCTCTGTTAGTGGACAAAAATCTGTGTCCTGACCCTGCGCGCTTGGGACTGATCTGCCAGGGCTCGGCAAATGTGCTCTGGATAGGCAAGCGTCTGCCAGGCTCGACGCCCCTCGCTGCAGAGCGCTGACGGTAGTCTGATGTAGTCTGCATCTTCATCGTTTTTCTGGAGGAGGAGTGATCTATAGATCATCCATCCAAGTAGCACGCAACAAGGCTATGCTTTCGCTGGGCGGCAGGAAGACCTGTATCCCGGAAGAAAGCCTCCTTGGTAATCCAGCCCCCAAGACCGCCGGTGGTCCCAGCTACTGCCAAAGGCAGAGGCCTATGATCCATCCAATCTTCGCAACATCACACGCATTCATGAGGTCATACAGATCTGTCCTGACAGGCCGTTAACCTGTGTCTCTGGGTGTTACATTCGAGGAAATCCAAACTATGTCGGTAGCCGTAGTTTGTCTAGTTCCATATCATCCCACATCTGCTACATGAAGACGTGCAACCACCAAGTCGTTTGAGGTTTCATGTCCCGTTTGTCTGAGTGCTGACAAGGCGGCACAGAGCTTGTCGTTAGTGTGTAATTCATGTGCGACTTTCTCTTTGCTTCGTGCGGAAGGATGAACACGGCAGTAGAAGCTGGCCGTTCTGCGAAATCCGCTCCGAATGCCCGCGTAAATGGTATGTTTTGCATGAAGCTGTTTTGTTTCTCAGACGTCGACAACGCTGTAGCAATGGATGAATCGCGAGATGGACAGATCGAGTTCCCTAGCTCGCTCGTTGAAGCAAGGAACCCAAAAACGAATCACAGAAGCTCACCCCTGATTGCCACACCTTCGCGAGTCCATGGATTCGATCACTCTGGGCGGTGGGGTGCCACTGCGAGGAAGCATCTGCACCTAAACAGCATGGTCAGACACACCTTCCCACTGAAAACGCTGCACCTGCCGAAAGCAGGCGATGTCAACTAGAGAGCCCCATTTACCATGTACTGCATCACTGCACTCTGCACAAATCGATGCCGAGCCCCAGGCTGGTTGGAACCCCTGCAACCGCGCCACATCCTGTGACAAAGCACGACGATCCGAGCACCTCCAAGCGCGAGGCAAACCGAGACGAAGGAAGGGTCAGTAGTTTGCACCAGCATTACAAGTCAATGAATGCAGCATTTGTCGCAGATCGGCACAGAAATCGGTTCAGACTGAAGCAAGACAACATCAAAACAGGAGACGCAGGCTGGTATGTTCCAGCAATGCTCATGCTGCGTGCTGAGCTGCGAAGACACGCGTGAGGCTCTACAGTACCTGCCGCGGTGTCGCTGGTGCCTCGTGGGCGGTAGTGAAAGAGCGCATACCTCAGAATGAAATCAAACGCTGCGCTACGGGAAGCAGCTCTTCTACTTAGTCTGGTCCAGGGGCGGCTGAACACAGCTTCATGTCGGTGAGCATGCGCTTAGCCTTGTAGCAGCGACAGGCTGACGGAACTTGATCCATGCACTTGTGCTTGCATCCTGAACCGACGTTACGCTAAACTGTCGGTGGACTCCCTCTTTACGTACAGTGTTAGGATTTTCATGCTACTTCGTACTTGGGACGAGAATGCCAAGATGCGCGTACACTGGTTGGAACTGCCTAGTGTTGCTACCTTCGTGTCACACGGCTTCGCGCTTCTCCGCCGACAGCTAGCATGAGCTGCCCCCTTCCTGTTGTTTTCCTTGCCGACCCTTTTGTCCAACAGTATGCAATGGTACAACAGCATGTGCAGCTGATATGCGGCTTGGATGCACATGGACTCAGACCGGGCGGTACAGTTCCCATGTGATAGAGACTCATGGCAAGACTTGCGAGAATCATGTGCACAGACATGTTGAATGCACCTTCAGCTTGATACGCAGAGTGCTGATCCCTGCATCCTAGGCCGTTAAGTTAAAGACAGTTAAAGAGATGGCTGAAATAATCCTGCTGGGTGACGTCCCAGATGGTCAGCGCTCTGCTCCATGGAAGCTCAGGCCCCTTCTGGATTTTCGGTTCACAAACTCGCAGGCCCTTACCAGCATGAGTATGGCTTGTGGCCTGAAGCTTGACATGCTAAATCGTGATTTGCAGTGGAGCTTGGGGACGGGACAGAATGGCCTTGTAAGAAGCCGTCTGAGCAAAAGGATCCACGAAAGACGACACACGTCGACACACACTCGGTCATGTCCACACTGACAGGATGCGCCAACCGCGGCACTCTTCTCAATGCAGTGGTCTCCCATGCAAGCATCATTTGGCCTTCCGGCGAATTAAGCTACAGGGTCTTGGCTGCAAGCTTGCCACGATGATCCTGGAATCTTGAGTAGCGGGTAGCGGGGAAAGCTTCGGAGCTGAGCCCACAGAGACCCTGAGACGCAGATGGAAAGCAATGGAGAATTTGCCCGAAGCACGATGCTTCCAGGGCCTCTCCATCCTTCAACATCACCCACACAGTACAGGCATCCCTCAGCCCAGCAAGCCGAAACGTTGCCGCTTCGGAGTGTCCGGCCAGGGCCTGGGTGTCAGACACGAAGCTCTGACATGTCTGACGTATCCTCTCGGGCTCGAGCCCCTCGTCTTCTTCCTTCAGGTGAAGCATCATGCTCTTCGGTGTGACACTCCTAGTCGGTGAGGAGCCTCCCAATCCTCAAGGAAGCCACGCCGCTTCGTCTGGGAGACCTGAAAACGTGTATGTGACTATGTGTGTGTGTGTGTGTGCGCGTGTCAGCACCATCGGCCACGGAGAACTGTAACCTGCCTGCTGGTTGAAGTCAACGAAATAATCTCGGTTCTCCTGGCAGTTGATAAATCTACGAAACAGTGGCTTTAAGTTGCCGGCTATGCCTTCCCAGTGAGTTTGTTGACCTGGGGCAATGGCCAAAAATCGAGGTGCTGCCCTCTGCCTACGTGGGATCGTGTTTTTCCTGCCTTCCTTGCGACCACCGCCAGCTCAGCAGCCAGCGCCGGTAGCCCCACGTGGCCTGCTGGAGGGAGGCTTCGACAAGCCAGCAGGGTGCAGCATGGCTTCCGTTTCAATGCCTGCGTCCTCCACGGCTTCAATGAGGTCCAGCCTCGAATGCAGTGGCAGTCAGCGGGCACAAAAGGGTTGGGGGCCATGGGGGCCCGGGCTGTTTCGCAAGCGCGGTGCCCTCCTTCTTCAGAGCGGCCCTCGGCTGCGAGGCTGAGGCGGACCTGCTCGGTGCTGCGAGGCCGAGATGCGGACGCTCTCCGAATCGACTGCACCAGGCGGGCTTCCATTTCAGCGATCTCCTGCAAAGCATTGCCATAAAGTGCCAGCTGCCACAGTAAACAATGCCAGAGTGTGCCAGAAACTGCTCGGGGTCACCTCATCCAGGCGGGTGGACGCACCTGAATTGGTGGTCTTCCGCAGCTGTCCCGTCGGCTCCTCGGCGGGTAAATTCTGCGATCTTCGCCAGTTAAGGGAGAGAGAGAGAGAGAGAGAGGAAGAGAGAGAGAGAGAGAGAGCATGTACAGACCGACGGACGAACCGACGGCCCGGGGTGGGGCAGTGGGTAGGCAGGGGACGTCAGAGAGAGCTGCAAAACATAGCGAGAAGACAAGGCAAAAGGCAAGAGAGCCCCGTGAGCTTCGCTGCCTCCCGGGGCAGAAGGATTCCTGCACAACACAGCGCAGCAGTCTGAAGTTCACGTCGTCAGAATGGCAGTGGTGCCTGCTGACGTGGTGGCCATGGACGAAGCCTGCTCCTGCTGCCGTGATCGCTCTGCGGGGTACATCGAGAGCTGCTGACTCACTGCCAGTCCCCGGGTTGCTCGTTCGAGCTGTTGAGAGATGGCCCCTCGGGCCTCGGCGAACGCAGGCTGAAGCTGTGCCTTGTCGTGGCTAGCACTAGGGCCACTAGGGATCCAGCACCTTGAGGAGGTATTCGAGCACGAAGTGCTCAAACCTGGGATCCGCAAGGACAAAGCAGCTCAGGGCCTCGGTTCTTTTGGGCCGCGAGGCCTCTGCGCCCTGGCTTGACTCTTTTCCAGGAGCACCGTCTGGAGCCGATAGCAGGTGCGGCTCGCCTTTCAAGGCTGGCTTTTTGTGCTACGGGGACTTCTTAGCATGTTTTCCAATGCCACGTGCCTCCTGTTCGTCCGCAGGACTGTTCTGAATCCTCGAGTTCGCTGTACTCGCTCTCAGGGAAAGCTGCACGCTTACGTCCACGTCCCAGCCCCTCCTGCTGCAGAGCTCCGTTTTCAGCCCCGAAGCCACTGACCGCAGCGCAGAGTCGACCTGGGAGGGGTGGCTGTATCTCGGGGGCAGCTGCAACGCGATCTGGATGTCACGTCGGCAGAATGTGTTGGAGAAGGCAAAACAGCTGCAATGCCTGTACACCCAATGCAAACACCTGCATCGGCTCACCAGATGACCAGGTGACAATTGCTAGAGCTGCTCTGAAAGAAAAGCGACGACGTACAGAAGCACCAGCGATTGCAGGGGCATGTGTGCAGATTGGGTTCCGGGCTGCCCCTGTCAGTGCTGTCGCAATATCCTGCTACGAATCAGGAGATTCCAGGACCGGTCGTCAGAGGGACTGCCAAGGCACTCTTGCCTTGGCTCGCTGCGCCGGATCACTTGCGAGGTTGCCTGGCGCCATCCTGACAGGATCAGCCAAAAATCTCGAACAGCCTTCGAAGGGCTTGATCGAAAATCATCTCGGATCTTTGCTTTGGAGTCGATGGAGTCGCCCTGCCTTATCCCAAGAGGCGGCCTTCCGTCGAGAACTGAGAGGCTGCAGACGACAGCTGCGCAAGAGCGCTCAGAGCCGAGATGGATTAGGAAAGGTGCTCTGGCACTTCCGTCGCGTGCTGCCCCTGAAGTCGTCGCAACGCCGTCAGGTCTACCTGGTCCGCTACTTTTGCTGCGCGCTCCCCTTACTGCGCGGTAAGCCACTCGTTCAGAGTCGAATCCCTAGCGCATGTAGTGCAGCGGAAGCATTCAGGTTCTTCAACCCTTGTCCAAACCAGGCTCAAGATCGAAAATGCACTCCGTCACAACGTCCCGATGGCTTCTGCATCGCCTACTGCAGGAGCTTGAAACTGTATGCTAGCCGCATTCTCTCTGTTGGCACTACAACCATTAAGCATAGTCTACAAGACTCAACGAAGGGTTCGCGTGTCTGACGCAATTCCCGGCGTTGTGGTGGGGTGAGACTCAGACGGCCTGATGGGCTTTGCAAAAAAACATGCGAAGGTGTTCACAGTCTTCCTAAACGCTTGTGAATCGCACTCCACCCGACGTTCGCTAGGGAGATGCCTCATGAAGATGCCAAAGCCACTCCCCTGTTGCTCTTCAGTCCGCATCTTCTGCTTCCAGCTCCTCTTCGGAATCTTCCTGACCATGCAGACACCGACCCGGGAACTGCAAAAGCCGATTCATGCAATGTACCACTGAGCAAATTTACGCACGCGACATTCGCATATAGGAATCGCGCATGAATGCACCGGATTCGCTGGGAATTTCCGCACGACTGGACGGCGGAGTTTCGCGTCGGGTAAAATAAGCCTTAGGCCCAAGAATCTCTCAAACCCTAAGCCGATGATTGCATGTGGAAAGTTGTTGGTAAAGTCGGTGTGGCTGGCTGCTAGGACGACCGGGGGCATCCTGCTCGATTAAGGCGAGAGCACGGCAGGGCACGGAGGCAGGCCTTCCTTACATTGCTCCTTGAACTGTCGGCTGGAGTCCTCTACAAGACTAGATCGGGAGTGCTCCGGCACAGAGGAGGCTGCGTCGCTTGGATCGGCCATGGCTGACTCAGGCGCTGCTGCCACTGCTGCTGCCACAAAGTCAGTCTGAAGGTTTGCAGCTTAATGGGGGAATGTGCGAAAGCCATGTGTATCCAGAGTCGGACTCCTAGAACGCAACTACACGGCCAGCGAGGCGCAGGATCGGACTCTACTCGCACACCCCTACACCTGGAAACCCTAGGCTTAAACCCTAAACGCTGAAACCTGGGCTTACGCACACGAGCAAAACCGCAGGCCCCGGGTTTAGGGTTTAGGGTTCCTAAACCCTAAACCCTAAACCCTAAACCCTAAACCCTAAATCATAGCTTGGCCCGAAACCATATAAAGAGTCCTATGCCGCACAAAAAAACAACCTAAACCCCGAGCCCAATACACCGAACTGTAAAATCTGGAGCCATAAATGCCACGTAACCCAAGCGTTTAAAAGCCATAACCATGAAAGCCAGAAACTCACAAACCTTAAACCCGTTGACAATAGTAGTACTGAAAATACCCCCAAACGACCATACAGGCGCACAGACAAATGTACAGAAAAGCAAGAAATCAAATCTCTTTGAACAAATGTGCTTGACTCGCACGTTGGTGTTTGTGCCGAGGCTTGAACCGGGATCGTGCTCGAATCGCGCGTGCTCGAATTGCGTGCTTAGGGCTTGAATCGCGGTCGGCGTCCGAACGCGCTTGAGACAGCCAAGACTTGCATGAGGTCCAACGCATTATCTAATGGCATTGCAATGCTGCCAATGCCTGTGCAGCGCCGTCATCGGCCTCTGCGGGCTCCTGCAAGCTCCCAAAGCTGATAAAGCTGCCAGAGTTTCAACTCTTCATCGGACCCGCTCCTGCGCCTGCACACGAGGGCGCTTTCGAGCGCCTGGCTCCTGCGATTGGGAATGGCAAACCTCTCTCTGAAAGGAAGTAAGACTTCAAGTCTGGAGGGGCAAGGCCCCACCTCCCAGTCGGAGTCATCTTCGGAATCGCACATGCCTTGCCTCGATGCACAGCGCACTCATCCCAGACCAAAGCAGGGAAGAGTGCTCCGGTGCTTGGGCTCCGGGCTTCCGCCTGCCCTTCTTCTTGACATTTCCCTTCTGCTCGCCGCGGCCGCGGCCACGGCCGCGCGCCGCAGGCGGCTCTGCTTTTTTGACCTTCGACGCCTTTAACTCGTTCTTCCCGCCCTTCGCCGCTTTGCCTTTGCGCCCACGCCGACCCTCCAGAACATCAACCTTGGCCTCGTGCCGTGATCGGCTGTCGTCCCAAGGATCTGCATCTGTAATGGTCCGGATGTACGAAATCATCTCCTCCGGCCGCCCGAAGTTTTCTACCAACGGCGAGATTTTCTCCAGCCACTCATTGGCAGGGAAGCGATTGCGAGCTGGCGTCTGTCCATCCTCACCTCGCCCGAAGCCTCCGGTGGGAAACGCCTTAATCCTCTCTTGCCGCAGCTCTTTGGGATTAAACGTTGCACATTGCTCGGAGGAGAGATTGTACTCCCTCCTCAGGACAGTCTTCAGCACCACACAGCTAACGATGGAGAGCGCCTCCGTAAAGACCTGTCACAGGGACATCGTATGGCAGTTTGGGAATTTGGACCCGGAACCACCAAGGCCTGCTCGGGCGAAAGTGTCTCCTTCTCCTTCACGATTCCGGCCGTTCCGTCGGCCGACGCGAGCAAAGCCCCAGCATGTAGTGCCAAGTGATGATTGCATTCCTGGGCAGCCCGTCGCCAGAGCGGAGCTTTTTTAACAGCAGTCAGTGAAAGGAGATTCGGTTGTAGATCCGCTCCGCTTGCTTATTGCAGGCAAGGCACGAAAACCACCAGCAGAGGCTCGTTCTCGAAGGCGAAAGGCAGCGATGTGACTGCCGATGCCAAAAACCTGCTAGCTACGACTGACCACCGGTTGAATTCTGTCAATCGTCGCTGTATCATCTCATGCCCTGCTGATCTAATCGGCGGCCTGCCATTTGCAGACATTGAGAACCGTAATGGGTGTTTAGAGCCCTTCAATCATACTTCGGGTTGACTTTGCGGATGAACTCAATTTCTTGACGCTTCTGTCGCCCAGCAGCTGGGCATAAAGAAGCTGCTGCTGCTGCCGCAAGGGAATGCGGCCAGGACCGCGGCTGCCGGCTTTCCTGTCATTCCTTGCGGCACGAGCAGCCCGTGCCCAAAACAACAAAACTTGTCAAAGAGATCTACACCCACAGAGTCCTCGTGGCACTGGAGCCGCCTGCGTCTTCCACACCAACGACCTTTGAATCCAAGCGAAGTGCGACACGGGCACTTTCAATTTCGAACTTTCGAGGTCACTGCTCCCAGTGCCGCTAGCTCAGCAAACCGCTCCTGCGTCACTTTGGAACTCAGGGGTCGAGCAGAAGACTGAGTTTCAGACTCGCAGCTTTCTCGCAGGTTTGATGCAAGTGCAATTTGTGGCAGGCATGAGACGTGAAGCTGCACCTCTGAGCGATTGGTTTGCAGCCGCTGCAACTCACGCAATGCTTTTCGAAGAAAAGTGTCACGGAGAGTTTTCCTGAGCAGGAGTCAAAAAAGCTGCACAAGAGCTTCTGTAGAAATCATGCTGATGTCACTTGCTTGTCTATCTGACGAAGACTGTACCTACAATATTCACATGTCACACATGTAGCCATCGAAGGCCCCAAACTTGGAGCTTGTCACCTATGGCGTCTGGGGGCTGCTTTCGGAAGCGCTCCATGTAGACGTCCCCCAGTCCCAGGAGCTGCTGGGGGGCCACGGCCTCTGAAAACTTGTAGCATCAAGCGGCCTCCTTTTTGGCCTCCGAGCCTCGCCCAGACGGACAGCTGTCGCCGCCGAGAGGAGCGCCAAGAAAGCCTTCGTCTCAAAGCGGAGATTCCCTGCACGAGTCCTGCACTGTCCCTTTGGAGCCTCCCGGAAGGCCTCATCCAGGCGGTTGAGAAGCCTGCTCGAAAAGAACCCAGAGAACACCAACCGCTAGCCTTCACAGCATTCACAGCGCAGACGTGCAATCTGAGGGACAAAGAAGGCCGCAGCTCGAGCATCTCCTTGAGCATGGCGGTTGCCGGCTCTGACAAACGAGGGTCTCCCGCAAAAGTCAGGGCGAAGACTTTGGGCAACACGGCCATTGGATTCACCAAGCCCTGTTGATGGAGGTGCCGGACAACGGACAGGGCTTCCACGCGAACTCGCAGCACGCCTTCTGCCTTCTCCGTGTCCTGCGAGGATCCCTGCTCCTCCTCTTCCTCTGTTTCTGGTGCACTGCGACCTCGCTTTGTGTGTGACTTCTTGGGGGAGGGCACCCCGGCAGCTGGGCCCACACTGCCCGCTAAGGTGATGTGCGACAGCACCACATCGGCGAAAGCGGCCAGGGGCTGCGCCGCTTCGATTGCAGAGTTGGTCTTGCTTGAAGCCTCGACGGCAGCACTGCCGGCCTTTGCTGACGCCGATCGCTGCGAGGAGGCTCCTTGCACAAGGGCGTGTCCGCTTTGCGAGGTGCCAGCGACGCGGCCGTCCCTGCTGTCGGCGAAATCCGCAGCACCTGCTTTGGACTCCCGATCCGCCTCTGAGCGGAAATGGCTCAAAAGTGCCGACAGCGTCTCCAGCGCTTTCCTGCAAAGGAGGAGATCGCTGGAGCTGAGCGCGCTCTGCAGCAACTCCACCACCCGTCGATCTTTCGTGAAGCCGCGGTGGCCCTTCAGGAAAAAGCCCATACAAGAAGCGGCCACGGCCCGCAGCTGTGGCTCCCCTATGGCATTCAACCTCGACAGACTTCAGACATCGGCTCAGAAATTTCTACCTGGCTCCAGCTGGCTCCTGGCCTGAGGAGGAGGTCCAGCACGGTCGATGCTACGGAGTCTCCAAGGAATTCGAACTTCAGGTCCGACCGTGGCAACAGGCGGCGCTTTGGCCTCAAGACTTCGGCAGCTTCGCGGACTCCAGAAAAAAAAGTGGATTTCCCTCCGAGGCACTGCTCTTCGGCACTGAGGCCCTCGATTTGGACCTGTTCACATGATCAGACTCGCCTCTTCAAGCTCTCGGGCCACATCGGAACCACTGCTTATTTGCAGAGCACCTCCTACCAGTCTAGGGCACAGGCATAGTCATCAATGTTCAAGCACTCCATAATGGACGCCAGCACCCAAGCTTGACGGCTCATGTACCTGTGCAATCGTCGCGCAGGCAGAGACCGAAGCATGGATGCCCTAAGGAGGACTCCCATCAGGGCTCACAGCAGCTGGATCCGCTCGAGGCTGCCGGGCTTCTGCTCGGCCGAGGTGCACAAACGGGACAGGGACGGCCTGTTCAAGGCACCCGCAAGCATCATGGCATGAGTCATGGCTTTTTCACGATGATGCCAGATGTGGATGCTGGGAAACCGGCACGGCCACGTTCAGGTGCGAAATGATCTGCGCCAAGTCGCCAGTGACCTGGTGCATCACATCCTTCTTCAGACAAGGTCCAAGGATGCGTGTGTCCTTTTGCCAGGCACAGAAGCAAAAATACAGCTCGGGCACAAACAAACTTTACGACCAAGCAGAGGCAACGCCTGAGCAGGCAGGCTACTCGGCAATTTTGCCATCTGCTGGGCAGAAGCTGCTCCAAACCGATATTGCCTACTGTAAGTGCACAGATCCGTCTCAGTGCGCGGCACAGCTTCATGCACTCCACTGGACGGCTGGTTGCGAATCAAGGCCTGAGAACTTTTGCTGAGTGTGTTGCTGAAAGCCCGTGTGTGGCATCGGTGTCCAGACTACAAGAATGACCGTTTCTGCTGTGATCAGGCCTGCAAGTCCACCTGAACCTGGCGATGGTCCATCAGACCACGCCTTCACAGGCTACGCTCCAAGGATGCATGTAATCGCTTGGGAAGGCTTGGGGTAACATCACTGTTCGAGTCGGCATCGGTTTTACTGCCTCGAAGCCAGTCCCAAAACGCACAAACGCACAGAGCGGTTCGGCCATGTCCGTGCTGCTGGCACCGTGTGAGGCACAGGTTTCGCGGCCGAAGAAGACGGCAAGAAAGATGGGGGCATAGCATGACACGGAGCAGCTGAAACCTCGACGTTCATCCCTTTATCTCCCGCACGAGGCTCATGGATCCGAAAAGCACATTACCAGTAGCCCGTGACGAAGCGGACTTCAAGATGCGCCGTCCAGCCTCTCTGCCACGTAAGGCAGCACCGAGGCGAGGATTCGGCAGACCTACGACCGGATTGGAAGCACCCTAGAAGACTCGTCTTCTGCGCGGTCTTTAGCTTCTTAAAAATACACGGCAAGGCCCGCTGAGGGAATTCTCTCGCCTCTTTGCCTCGGATGTCGAGATGTTCAAGTCTGGGGATTGTTGAAAGCATCTGCGACCTGTTCCTGGTATAGAACAGAACTGGCACATGTTGGTCTGCCGCGCGACTTTAAGTAAAAGGCAAGCTCCCTCGCCCGCGCATGCTGCACGTCTGCGTGTCAGGATGCTGCGTGAAAACTAGAACGGTCTGCTTCATGTCTCTGCAGGGGACTGTGCAGCCGGCGGTGGGGCGTGCTCGCATCTTCCGTCTCTCGCTCTCTTCTGCCAGTCTTGAGGGCTTGTAACGACAGCTCTCGTTAATTATTTATCTCTTCTCATTCATTCCTTCCTGCCCTCCCTCCCTCCCTCCCTCCCTCCCTCCCTTGCTTCCAATGCGTAAGCCGGAGGTGTTCCCCGGCTGCTGCATCTGAATACTACGTCCCACGAGTCTCGGTGATGTGAGATGTTAGGAAAGGAGGATCAAGATAATTCAATTCTTTCGCCAGGGCTGGAGGAGGAGGGGCCAACTTGCCCCGCCCGCGCAGGCCCCCACATGTTGCGGTGCTCAAGAGCATCAGCGGCAGGATCTCTCTCTCTCTCTCTCTCGAGACCACAGGCAAAAGGAAGGCAGGTGCCCCTTCCTTGCACGCGAACGTGCCACTGTCCTTGCAGGTTTTTTTCCGCTGTTCTGTTCTGTACTCCGGGGTTCGAGGAGCATGTAAAGCTCCCCGCGCCGAGAGGCGCGCCCCAGTTTGGGGGCCTTGTGGGGACTCGGAAAAGGCGAAAGTTTCCTCTCTCTATCTCTCTCTCTCTCTCTACCAGGTGAGGAGCCCGGGGAGCGTCCAGCCCCAAGCCCCGTGCACGAGCGCGCACCCGCAGTTCATGGGTGTCTTTCGTACTCCCCTTGGAGATTTTCCCCTGACGGCTCGGCTATACTCTGAAAAAAGGAGTTGCTCCCCTGTATGAAAGGAGAGGAGGCTGGCAGTCACGTCCCCCCTAGTCAAGAGACATCAAACAAGCAAACATCCAAGTGCAACTGTTCCCCCCCGTCCTGCCAGCCTGCCTTGGAGGAAGGAGGAAAAACGTACACTTTCTCTCTTTCTTTCGCCAGGGTTGTGGCGCAAGGGGTTGCCCCCTTACGCCTCTCTCTCTCGCTGTCTCTCTGGAGCCCTTACGATGCTTGGCCTTGATTGCCACCCACTGATCCTCTGGTGGCGAATCATCCTGCAAAGATGTCTTGCATACAGTCTGGCACACCCCAATTCGGCAAGGATGCTATGCTGATGGATCATCCGTCCTCCAAGGCCAGGTAGATCGTGAGAGGCCGTAAGTGCACCAGCCTTAGCCATCATAGGAGTCATCATATATATATATATATATATATATATATATATGATCCCGGTTCGGCCGGCCCCCCCCCAATGGTTCCTCCTCCCCCTCCCTGTGGTGTGGTGTGGTTGTGGGTTGCTTCCCCCTCTCTGTGGTGGTGTCTTGTGGTTGGGGAGTGGGTCTGCTTAGGCTGGTTCCCNNTGAACCGAGAACCGGGATCATATACAGTCCCTTCCAAATCCCCTCGTCGGCCGGTTCCTGCCAAAGTGACAGATCTTTGGGCTGCGTCGCGGAGAATGCTTCCAGAGTGGAGAGGAGGGATCGACGCATCAGCCACTGCTCCTCATCCGACTCGCTAGAGGGCGCTTGCCGCACAAGCATCAGGACTGTCGCTTCCCTCCTCGGCGCTTTCGGCTGCTTGAAGCTCGATCTTCGGACCCTGTCAAGAAGCTCGTCGTCTACGTGCCAGGTACACCAGGCTTCAAGATGCATCAATGAGGCTTCACAAGTCGCACCTTGGCTTTCTTGAAGGGCGGTGTTTCTGAGCCATATCCACACCTTGGCTTAGCACAGGAGCACGGGCACCGCGGACAGCAACTCTGCACACATGAACGAAAGTCTGCGAGAAGCCGGGCCCCGAGACTTCGTTCGCACGAACTCATTGAGGATCAATGTTGTCCATCGGCGGATGGCGAACTCGTAGCCTTTGGAGTTCTTGCGTGAGCCTGGCATGGCTCGGCCAACCCTTGCGCACCAGAGGAGGATGCTGTCTCCTTCCCCAAACAGACCGTGTTTCCGTATTCTTCTGCATGGAAAGCACTGAAAATATGAGCAGAAGCAAACACCCGCTCGAGGCGCCGATTGACTTTCGAAAACGGCGCAGAAGCTCCTGCAAGACGTCGCCAACCGCCGCCTTGGATACGAGAGGGTGTAGGAAGCTCTAGATGCAAGTAACAGAACAACACAACGACGGCCATCTAGGAATGTTCGTCGTGTGATGTTGTGTATTGACGCGGGATGAGCTCCTGATCAACGGCTGTGGCGGATCTCCCAAAAAAGGAACGCCGGGTCTTCCACGATCGATGCGAAAAGTGAGGACAACCATCTTCTTCACACTGCACAACCTCCCGCTCTGGCTGCTCAGCCCCCTGCCACCATACTTCTCGAAGCATCCACCACTCGACAAAGCTGCCGAGCCGCCTCCCGCAATTCAGCTCGGTTGACAATAATTTTTAATAGCACTGGAAACACAGCTGCACAAATGTGTTTCGCACCAACGACCCCTGACCTCTGGTGTCGGCTCATCATCCATGAACCAGAGGAGCTCGAACGTGCCCAGGACAAGGTTGCGCCTGGGGAAGGAGCAGGCCCATGCTTTCACTCGGTCACTAGGACTATCAGGACCTGGGCTCAAAAGGGGACCAGTAAGCTCCTCGCAAAGCTTCCGAGTCAGTGGAGCGACGAAGAAGATCCAGCGTGACCGGCACTACATCTGGATGATCCGGGTGATTCAAGACCTCAGAGTGATGAGCGACCCTTGTTCCTTGTAGCAACACGGGAGCTGCAGCAGAGTCACAAAAGCACTGAGGATCTTCGTGGCCTGCCGTCTCACAATGACTGCAGTGTCGTTCACACGCCTTAGCAGGCGGTCGGGACTCGAGGGGAAGCTGACCATTCTTCGATTCTCGTCACAAGCTAAAACAGCACACACACACACACACACATAAGGCCTTTAAGCACATACACACACAAAAAGCCAAGCAATGCAAAGCACCATGGATCCAGCTGCAGTGTCGGGGTCGTCTTCCAATCTCACATTGATTCCAAGGCAGTCCAAACTGAAAGCTGCGCAGAATGTCAGCATGTGCACAGAAGAGCAAGTTTACGAGAACATCGACAGAATGCTGGGCTGTGTTGATGATAACCCGTGCTCTTCTGTGCAACATTTAGGCAAGTGTTCCACTAATTCCAGGGTTCCAGTGCCCCTGTGAAGCTGCAAAGCCGCAGCACATTCCGAAACCCCACCTGCACCTGCCTACTGGAGAATGCTGGAGCTGTCAACTGTTAATGCGAGAACTGCAGGGACTCAATGGATGCTCACAGTGCGAAGAGCAACGAGCTGGTGCAGTTGGAGCCAAAATCTCTTATTCAAAGCCTGACCTGATGGCAGGCAAGATCTGTACAGACTCGCCGACTCTAGGCAGTTCGTTCGCCGAGAAATTAAACTGACACTGCACATCGTTCTCATGAGCTGGCGAAACACGCCAGCACACAAAAGTCGCTGCTGCGCTTGTCCTGGTCAGAGTGTGATGGTGAGTGCGGCACGCAGCGTACATGGCTGCCTGCAGATAGGACAGCTTGCTCTGAGACTCAGCCACGGATGCACGCAGATTGAATGAAAGGTATGTCCACAAGGAAGTTTTTGCTGCCAAGTAGAGTCCGTCATGCAGCCCAGGCAGATGGCACACTGGCCATCACCCCTGCAGGCTTTTGGCCCCTTGTTCGCAGGCATGTCTCTGCACAGCTTCTTTGATGCGCTGCTGAAGACTGAAGCCACAGCTCCCTTTACTTCGTCCAGCTTGTCCCGAGCTGCACTCCAGGCAGAATCAAGCGCGCTTATTGCGATCAGGGGCACCAAATATTGCATGGGCATATTCCTGTGTTCTGGGACGAAGCTTGAGAAAGGGAGTTGGCTGCGAAGAGTCAATAGCCATGCATCAAAATCTTTCAGTACGCATGCCGACCGTGCAAAAGGGAAACGACGAAAAGCGCAGCTCTCCGTTTGGTGTCGTTTGCAGCCTTGCAAAAGGGTGCCTGGGAGGCGGGGTTTACAGGAGGGGGGAGGCGGGGGTATGGACAAGTGAGGGCACGTGCTGCTTCGAAGGAGGGCTGGGAGAAGTCCTTGGGAGGAGCTTGTCAAAACAGCCTTGCGAGAACGCTTCTGTTTGAACCTCACGTGGCCACGACACGACGAGTGACACAGCTGGTTGGGGCGGAGCGACTACGGGGCAGATTTGCAGCCAAAAAAAAATCCGTTCGGGCAGTACTGGTTTGCAGCAAGAGTGACAATAAGTATTAGGCTAAAGGGCTTGCACACAGCTTAAGCACGCTGTCGCTTTGCTTCTGGCAGATCGGGAGGCAGGAAGTCTCGAAGAGTGAAAACGGAACCGAAGCTTTGGACTCTCACAAGGCGCCATTGCTTCTTCGATGGCTTGGATTGTGAACCCAGATTAAGATGTCGAGTTCTCAGTTCGACTGATTCACTGAAGATGGGTCTCTGGATCCGAGGACCCTGTGCCAACATGCACTGACCAGTTCGACAGGCTCTCTCATCGAAATCCAGCACCAGCTGAGGAGAACATGCTGCTTTTCCTTGGTTGAATCGGTCTTCAGGGCATGTGCCAAAGCCTGCTGCACCTGAAATCACCTGAAACACAATGCACGATGCTTGATCAGCTGCTTCTGTCCAACTGCAGCAGTAGATTCCATTCGCCCTGCGCCCGACCGGTGTCCAGCAACCATCGCTCCGCGTCACCGTACCTTGGCATGCTGTCGAGGGAGCTTCGGCTACATCATCAGAATGGAGGTCCAATGGAGGTTAACATTTCTTTCGGCTGAGACACTGTCCCGGAGCCAGGTTGCAGGCTCGATTCCAATATCTCAGCACACTCAGAATAGTAATTTCCGGCAGAGCCAACAGCGAAACGTGGACACTTGTTTTACCACGAGATGCAGCCGACCAGCTCTGCGGCCTTCTCGTAGAGCGCATCTGCTCGATCATATCGCAGGTCCCTTTCCGCCTTGACACCCTGGGCCTTGGTAGTGGATGCCAGACGTTCTTCTACGAGACTGTACAGGCACCGAATACTTTAAAGGAGACACCTGTCTGTGCTGGCAATGATTACTGTCGAGTTTTCTGCCTAGCTGCAGACCGGGCAGATGAAAAAATCCTGTTTAGGAATCAGTGAACATCTTCATTCCAAGCTTCGTGGTACATCACACCCAGGTTATTCCAGGCAGAGAACAGCTGGTAATTCTGGTCCTTGGCATCAAGTGCTTGGCATCAGGTACACTCTGTCAAAAAGCGTTTGTCTTTCTGCATCGGGCCATACTTGCACTGGCATGTTTCACGTCTCACACTTCCGAGGGAAACATTCGTCCACAAAACAGCTTTTGAGGCCAGATCCACAGCCATCAGGTAGTACTTGGCTGCCTTGGTGAATTCGCCATTATCGGCGAACACGATGCCCAGATTGTAGAGGATGTAACCGCCTCAGTTCAAGCCGGCATGTGGAATGCGAGACAATCTCGAAGGAGGGCAGAAAAAACGAGCGGGAGAATGGTCCCTGATGTTTGTTCAAGAGCGGCGTTCGGAAGGATCGCTCTCCAACTTGAGCGCCCGCGCATACCTGAGCTGAGACGGGCTGCCTGTACCCGCCAAGCCAAACAACAGAAGCTTTCACCGGCCGGTAAAGCTATAGATCGCTGTTAATGCGCTCCTTTTTCCAACCGCTTCCCCTTCGGCGGCGCGTTCTGCGATTCTGACTCTCTTCGGACTCCGACCGGGTTCATCGAAACTTTCAATCCTACTTCATACAGAAACGTTCTTTCGATGTTAGTACATCCACCGAGTCGATCGGTGACTGATGAAAGCCACGGGCTGTCATTTCGGATACAAGTGTGGTACACGACAACAGACGCTTTCACCGGTAAAGCATAAATCCCTTCTATGCGCTCCTTTTTCCAACTGCTTCGGTTTCGGCGGCGTGTTCTGCGATTCGGACTTTTTCGGAGTTTGATCGGGTTCATCGAAACTTTCACTCCTATTTCATACGGAAATGTTGTTTCGATGTTAGGAGGACCGACCGTTTCCCATCGGTGGTGGTCGCATCTTCCCATCGCAGGCGACCTTACCAATCTCTCCCTCGGAGGGGCCCGGTACTGCCAAGAAGCCAGTAGTGGCTACAACATCTATAACTCCCATATTCTTCGCAGCCCTAGCCGTGATGGTCGAGAGATGTAATTCGATTCTCATCCACTGTCGAGACTCGGCTATATCTTCGAATCGACTGAGTGCAAAACCTTTGCCTTGGCAGGTACTCGTTCGAGTCGGTGCGCAAGTCCGCGGCGATTGTGCCATGTCTGTCCCATGCGCCGCGCTTGATGAGCGCATGTCTGGATACCTCGATACCTCATTATCGCATCACTGAATGCAGAAACCGTCCAACCAAGGTTCAAAGATCATCGGGGCTAAGATCGCGGCCCAGGCCTCTAGCAGGTAGATAAAAACCCGGTCGGAGGAAAATTGTCGCACTAACACCGATGGAAAACGACAAGCCTACTGCTCGTTGCAAATCATCTTGGTGGAAGCAAACGGCGGTCCATCCGTTCTCGATGTTGTTACACCGAATTCCAATTAGGCAGACCTTCATCCCCCCTGAGGTGGTAGATCTTTTGTCCCAGTTTGAAGTATGCCTCGGTGTAGATGACGCTGTCGGTCTCAGTCACTGGATTCCTGAATATCGTCATCGGTCGACAGTGTTGGATGATGTCTCGTAGTGCGAGTATTGAGGATCAGCTTTGTCGATGGTGCGTGCGTGTTGGAGTTGGCTCTGGCATACAAGCCCTTCAAAGGAGCACGGCCCACCTTGCCGAACGGCCCACCTTGCCGAACAATCTGCCTGTCAGAAAGTTGCACGTGACGGCCATCTTCCTGGCATCATCGGGTGACACGTCGTTGGTATTGAGGTGTTTGTCACTCTGTTGGCACATCGTCTTGACTTGTTGTGGACGTGGGGTTAGAGCCATATTGTCGGCGTCGGAGGAGATGAGGAGGCAGGGGACAGTACAATAGTCCTGCTACATGCGACGAGTACATCGCCGAATCGATTGTGTAAGACCAGACACTCGCTGCTGAGCCGAACAAGAATACGTTGTGACTCCAAAGCTCGGGTCCTTCCGGAGTCAGGAGGAGTACGTACGCTTGTCGGGGATAGTATAGCTGTAATTGTCGATAAGTTCCACGGCGGTCATGTATGTCCACAAACGTTGAGCGGTCTGTCGTGGTCGTGTTTGAGGAATGCCAGTCCGAGGGATACGAAGTTGTCCGGTGTGTGGTGAAAGGGAAACCCATCAAAAAAATCTTTTCAATCAACAAAAACTCTGGCCAACATCAAAAATACTTTTCCACCAATCAAAAAAGAAACTTTATTCCAATTAAAAAAGCTTTCTGTAGACGTTTACAAGCAAACCCATGAGAATCCAGAAATTTCGTCCCCATCAAAAACAACTTCTTTTCTTCCTGCCTGCCTTCCTTCCTTCTTGCCTTCCTTCCTGTCTGCCTGCCCGCCTGCCTTCCTTCCTTCCCTCCTTCCTTCCTTCCTCCATCTCTCTCCCCGCCTGCCTTCCTTCCTTCCTTCCTTCAATCCTTCCTTCCTTCCTTCCTTCCTTCCTTCCTTCCTTCCTTCCTTCCTTCCTTCCTGCCTTCGAATCCTTCCTGTCTGCCTGCCTGCCTTCCTTCCTTCCTGCCTTCCTTCCTTCTCTCCTTCCTTCCTTCCTTCCTTCCTTCCTCCTTCCTTCCTTCCTTCCTTCCTTCCTTCCTTCCTTCCTTCCTTCCTTCCTTCCTTCCTCGCTTCCTTCCTCGCTTCCTTCCTTCCTTCCTTCCTT